ACTCTGCACACTCTCCCTGCTCCGTTCAGTTCAGCTCCGAGTTCCAGCCCGGCAGGGACTAGGGCAATGTCTGGCTTCTGGGCTCGCAGGAGTACTCCTCCGATTCAGCACCGCGAACAGCACCTTGATGCCCTTGGACCAGAGGCTGAGTGTAGAATTGTGCATGAGGTGAACCTTCATGGCCCCCCGACGCAAACACACACACACACACACACATACACACACACATGCTGAGGAGAAAGCCGCTTGTATCTGGGCCCTGGCACCTTCCTGGTGACAGCATTTGTTTTCTCTTGTTCTGGGGCCACACTTGGCGATGCTCAGAGGTTTTCCTGGCTCTGTGCTCAGGAATCACGCCTAGGGGTGTTCAGGGAGCCATCTGGGACACCGGGGATTGAACCTGGGTCGGCTGTGTGTCAGGCTAGCACCCTCCCCACTGTGCTATCACTCCAGCTCTTCCTCTCAGACAGCTCCTGCAGAGGGCAGAGGGGAACATAAGTCTGGGCACAATGACAGGAATTTTGTGCTCTAGTTTTGGGCTGGGTATGTGACTGTCACACCCCAGCAGAGGGACATGTGAGCGGCAGCTCAGAGCTGCTGGCTGGGCAGAGCCCACAGAATCATAGTTCCTCGGTGGGTGGCAGCCATCAGGAGATGCGGCAGGAAGGGGTGCTGGTGACATCATCACCCTGGCTTGCAGACAGTCTCCCCGCACCTGTGTCTTGTGGGGTGGGGAAAAGGCTCTGAGGCCCCGCCTCCTTGGCCCATCTGGTGAGGACCCCTTCTCTGGACCCCATTAACCCTTGGGGACCCCACCCCAAATCCATGGCACTGCGGGTTAATTTTTTTAAAAATTTTATTTATTTTGGCTTTTTTGAGTTCACATTCAGCAATGCTCTGGGGTTACTCCTGGCTCTGAGCTCAGGAATCACCCCTCCCATTGCTCGGGGACCATTTGGGATGCTGGGAATTGAATCCAGGTCAGCCACATGCAAGGCAAATGCCCTCCCTGCTGGGCTATCACTCCAGCCCCTGGGGGTTAATTCTTTAACATAAGACAGGGGGGTCCAATTCAGCTCGTGATGCTGCAATTCATTCAACTTGGTCCCCTGCCCCCGCATCATCCTATCAATGGGCTCAGAAACTTCTGAGTTTGGGTGGCATCACATTCGGGGGCGCCTTGGACCCTGGGCATGGTCCTTCACCTCCCTGAGCTTTCTCTCCCTGTGTCTGACCTTCTTGTGGCCTCTCAAAGAGGAGCAGGACCCCCCCCCCACCTCCAGAATGCATGGTCCTTCCGGGACCCTGCTGTTTCCACGGTGATCCCACATTCGACATCTCTCAGCGTCCCATGGGGAGTTTGCAGGTGGGGAGAGATAGCAGCAGCACGGGATGCCTTTGGGCCGCAGGGAAGGGGGTCCTTGCCCCGCAGCACTGCTTCAGGGGTGCCGAGGGCTGGGAGCAGCTGGAGGCTTGGAGAAGGGACAGTGCCTCATCAGGGATGGGGCACGTGCATCGTGCAGGGACAGGGACACGCAAGAATGCAGCTCAGCCCCAAGGCTGCTGGCCACAACGGAAAGGAAATCTGCTGGCGAGCAGGAGGAGAGAACATTCTAGAGAAGCAGGGCCGCCTTGTCCAGGCCACTGTTCTCTGCTGGCAGCAGGGCTGTGGCTTCTGCTCCTCTTCCTTCCTCTGGCTCCGGGTCCCAGGTGGCCTCATCCTGGAAGAGCCCTGGTACAGCTGGACGAGGGACCAGTGGCCCCCAGTGAGCCAGAGGCAACCAGCTCGAAGGACGGGTGAACTCAAAGTCAAATCCCTCCCCCTGGACTCTGCTGCCACTTTCCTGGCTGAGTTTCTCTTTGAGCTTCCAGAAGTTTCCAGAAGGTTCTCTTCTCCTGACCTGGCTGGCTTAGGTCTTCACTTAAAATGCTCTTTCCTGAAACCTGTCCTGCAGGTCCCCATGGTGCCTGTTCCTTGTTTGACTCAGGCGCTAGTAATAGCTGAGATTAGAATCGTCTATTGCTGGGGCTGGACAGAGAGCACAGCGGAGAGGGTGCTGGCCTTGCATGCAGCCGGCCTGGGTTCGATCTCCGGCATCCCCTTTGGTCCCCTGAGCCCCACTAGGAGTGATTCCCAAGCACAGAGTCAGAAGTAATCCCTGAGCACAGCCAGGTGTGACCCCAAACTAAGCAAAAAGAAGTGCGTATCGCCTCAGATGACAGAAGCATGACGGGCACCTCTGTCCCGGTATGACCAGGACAAAGTAGGGTCCCAAATCTGGACGGCAGAGCCCCGTGTCCGGACTCCAGTCGGTGGAGTGGATGCCCGCCCCACCTACACGTCCTGCGTAGACCCGGTGCTGTGAGTGACAGCTGAGTGTCGAGTGAAGCATGCTTAATTTTGATGAAGCGTGTTTGTGGGTTTTTTTAGAGCAGTTGTAGGTTGGCAGAAAGTCGAACAGATTGTGCTGACAACCCCAATGCCTGCGTGTCCTGGCGCGGCTCTGCTCACCCCGCAGCCCTGGCGCTCATCTATCAGCAGTGGACCAGCCCACGCCGGCCGCCCCGGCGCTGAGCTACAGCGACCTGCTGGCTTGGGGCTCACTCTGGAGTGCCCCTCCCTGGGCGTTGACAAAGGGGGCCTTTGGTGGACCCCTCTCCATACTAGCACAGGGCCAGATGGAATATATTCATCCTCACACTCTCCCGCGCCACCCCCTCCCCACCCCCGATTTTCCACCTCCCCCCACCCCGCCCGTGACACAGTTCCCCATGGCACGCACTGTTCCAGCTCAGAGTGTGCCACAAACAGGTGTCCGATAAATATTGTTCTTTGCATATTTTAATGAAAATCGGCTCTGACTCAGCACATTGTTCTGCAATTCGCGTTTTACAAATATTGACGATATACACCGGAGACCTTCCTGTCCAGAATGTAGAGCCCACTCGCACTCACGCTCCAACGCTTACTGCGGGGGGACTCCAGCACGCAGGCGTGCGCCCTGGGATGAGCCACCTAAACCGTCCCCACCTGGCAGAACCTCCGTGCACGGCCCCTGCTGCTGTGTCCTGGTCTCTGTCCGTGTTCTCCACCCCGAGCAAATCCCTGACCTCGGATCGCTGCTCTGAGGTGGGGGTGTCCCTGCGACTTTAAAAATAGGACTGCTGGGGTCCGAGCCACAGTACGTGGGGAGGGGAGGGCGCTTGCCTTGTACAGAGCCAATCTGGGTTCAATTCACGGCACCCCAGGGGGTCCCTGGAGCACCGCCAGGAGTAATTCCTGAATGCAGAGCCAGGAGGACCCCTGAGCACTGCCAGGTGTGGCCCCAGAGTAATACACAAAAAGATAAGAACTGTTGGGGCCCATCACCTCCCCGTCCTCAAGCCCAGGCCTGGGCTCACCCGCCGGCGCTGTGGGCACAGAATCTGCTCACTGAACTCAGGTGGCTTGACCCGAGGCCCCCTGCGACTGGCCGAGAGCTTCTGGGGCTCCTCTCGGTCCCGTGCTCCCTCCACACTCCTGTTCTGGGGTCCTTGGATACAGGCCCCGTGTCTGACTATGGAGCGCAGCCCACCTGCTGTGGCGTTTGCTGGGCTTATGCAAATGTAGCTGGGTCCAAGCCAGAGCTGTAGTATAGCGGGGAGGGCATCTACCTTGCATGTGACCAACCCAGGTTCAATCCCCGGCATCCCATAGGCCCCCCCCCGAGCACCACCAGGTGTTATTCCTGAGTGCAGAGCCAGGAGTGTCAACTGAGCATCTCCAGGTGTGACCCAAAAATTTAAAAAAAAAATGTAGCTGCGTCCAGGGACTTGGTCAGCTTCAAATTCAGCTCGCGCTGGTGAGAGTGAGCTGGGGTGGAGTTGTGCGCAGGGACGCAGGGCTGGGGGCATCCTTCTGTGGCAAAGCATCTCTCTGGTTTCAGTGTGTGTCCGTGTGCAAGGATCTGTGTATCTGTGTGTGACTGTATGTATCTGTGTGCTTGTGTGTGTCTCTTGTGTGTCTCTGTGTGTGTCTGTATCTGTGTCTATATATATCTGTGTATCTGTATGTTTGTGTGTGTCTGTATTCTTGTGTGTGTCTATGTTTATCTGTGTGCATGTGTATCTGTGTGTCTGTGTGCATGTGCGTCAGTATCTGTGTGCATGCATGTCTGTGTGTTTGTGCATGTGTCTCTGTGGGTCTGTGTGTGTGTGTGCGCATCTCTTTGTGTCTCTGTGTATGTGTATTGCAGGCTGTTTCTTCTCAGAGTTTCAGTCATTCATTGGGTCTGTGGATCTGTGTGTGCGTGCATGGCTGTGTGTGTCTTGATGTCTATGTGTGCATCTCTTTGTGTGTATGTGTCTCCCGGTATATGCTATTCCAGGCTGTTGCTACTCTGAGCTTCAGTCATCTATTGAGTGTGTGTGTGTGTGTCTGTGTGTTGTGAGTCTGTGTGTCTGTGTCTGTGTGTGTGTTTGGGGGGTCTGTGTATGTGTTTGCGTGTACATCTGTTTGTGTGTGTCTGTCTGTATTTGTGTGTCTGTGTCTCTGTGTGTGTCTCTGTGTTTGTGTGTCTGTGTCTCTGTCCGTATGTGTCTGTCTGTGCTGTTCCAGGCTGTCGCCACTCTGAGCTCCACCCTTCACTGAGTCGCAGCTGTTAAACGGCGACCTCCGATCTCTGTCCTCCTCCCCCAGTTGCTTCTATGAAGCCCCCGCCCCGCCCCCGGAGGTGCAGGACAAATGCCTGCTCTTCCTCTTTATTTACCGGATTGCGGAATAATGAGTTGCCCATGAATATTTCACTGGGTGAATGAATAATGCATGTGTGGAGGGAGCAGCAGGGCTGGGGCCAGGGTTCCCCGCCTGCCCTCAGGGTGCGGGGCTCCTGGGGACCGAGGTCTCCTCTCCCCGCCCTCCTGCTGCGGGCTCTGCTTCCTCCTGTCCTGCGGGAAGGGAGGGGGGCCAGGCCGAGGGGCTCGCTGACTGCTGACCGCTGACCGCTGCCCTCTGTCCGCAGGTGCAAGTGCAACCTGCACGCCAGCCTGTGCTCGGTGCGGGAGGGCAGCCTGCAGTGTGAGTGTGAGCACAACACCACGGGCCCCGACTGTGGCAAGTGCAAGAAGAACTTCCGCACCCGCTCCTGGCGGGCCGGCTCCTACCTGCCGCTGCCCCATGGCTCGCCCAACGCCTGTACGTACGGCAGAGGCCACACCCTGTGCCTCTGCCTCCCTGGGATCCTCTGCCTCCCACCAGAGCTGTGGAGCACCCCATGCCCCGGGGCTCAGATCCAGGCACACGTCTGCTCACAGAGGCCCGTATTTATCACACGCACGCACGTGGGGCTCTCCCCTGGACACATCTCGCATGCAAAATGCGCACACAAATCTAATAGACATGCACGCCTATCCATGCATGCAGACATGGGCTCAGATATGTGCACATGTGTGTGATCAGATACATGTACACACATGATCAGCCATACACACGTGGTGTGTTACATGTGCACATTCCACACAGGTTCATGTGCTCATCAATGTGCATACATACATACACATATGTTCAGGTGCGTGGACTCACATGCATGTGCTCATATATGTGTAAGACAAGCATACACATGCTCATATACATGTACACAGGACACATGCTCAAATATATGCACAGCATGAACATGCTCTGGGTGCATATACACACAAGCACACATTATAATTACACTGTGTTCAGACACGTGTACACAAGGACCAAGTAGTCAAATGCACACATGTGCGTGTGGTCAGGTACATGTATGTACAAACAAGTGCAAATACAAAAGCGTTCACATGTGTGCTTAGATGCACGTACAAACAAACACAATGTGTGCACAGACACAGACACATAGGTGTGTGCCAAGTCCCTGTATCTCCCCATGCACACAATGCCCAGATGCATGTACACCCATACACACATGTTCAGATACTTAAACGTATATACACACATGCTCAGATTCATGTGCACCCATGTACACATGCTCAGTTATATGTACACCTATGCATACACATGCTGAAATGCATGTATACCTATGCATATACATGCTTAGATGCATGTACATCCATGCACACACATATTCAGATCCATGTACATACATTTTCAGATGCATGTATACCCATGCACACACATGCTCAGATGTATGTATACCCTCCTTTCCTCTCCCGACTCAGCGGGGCCAAGGAGACAGTCCTGGGGTACACCCATCCATGTCTCGTACATAACACCTTTAGGGAGCCCAGCCTCATCTTCAGGCGTCTCCATGAAACCACAAATCCAGGGAGCCCCCAAGTGGCAGAACAGCAGAGCCCCAGCTGGCCCTGAGGCTGCCCCAGGAACTCCCAGTGCCTTGGCCCGTTCTCCAGATGAGCGACTCTCAGACCTCACGGGGACCCGACCTTGCTGCACCCTCCACCCACAACTCATGTGACTTTGGGCTGGTGAGAGGAGCCGCGCAGGGGACAGCCCCCACCCACACACTCAGGCCCAAGGAAGCCCCTTGGAGGGGCGTGAGGCCTCTAGGACCCCGTGGCAGTGCTTAGCTCAGGCCAGGACCAACTGTCCTCGCATCCCACACAGGCTTCCAGGAAGCTCTAGGGCTGCCCCCACTTTCCCTGGTTTCTCTATGGCATCAGAGCCTGCAGGATTGTGTGCCCAGGGCTGGTGGCCCATTCCCAGCACCCGGCCCTGCCCGCCCAGCCCCCAGGAACCGCCAGCCAGCAAGCCTCGCCTCCCGCAGCGCCGCTGCTGAATGTCCTGGTCTCGAAGGGCTCCGCCTCAGCGGCTGTCCCAGCACGGGCGCCTAGAGCTGTCCCACTTCCAGAAGAACCCCTGGCCCCTGCAGGGAGCAGGGGCGCCCCTGACCCTCCTCTTCCTCCACAGGTGCCGCTGCGGGCTCGGTCGGCAGTAAGTACAGCCCGCGTGCTGGGTACCTCTCCTCGGCGTGTGCCAGCTTCTGCGCCCCTTCTGGCTTGCTCGGTGCTGTAGAATGCGGGGTGCTGTGCTCCCGGGGCTCACGCCTGCTCCTCCTCAACTGGGAGCTTCTCCTGCTGTGCAAGTGTGGGCTCACTTCTCCCCTCAAATCCCTGCCGCGTGGGGCCTTGGGGCCTTGGCTGGGGCATGGCAGGTCCTGTGGTGTCCAGCCAGCGGGACTCCGGGGAGGATGGTGAGGGGGACAGTAGTGTGGGGTCTTGGCCCACCCTGCACTGCCCCCTGCTGGCTGCAGCTGGCCTGTCCCAACTCTAAAAAACACTTTTTTGAGGGCTGTACCCTCTCCAGAATGTACCCTAAGGGGCTCCAGAGGGCACAGGAAGCTGGACCTTGGGGGCACTTGGTGGGGGCCCCGGAATACCCTGCGGCTGCCAGCTCCCACAGAGACCCCATCTCCAAGCCCTGCGGGGACTCCCCCTATCCTGCCCCCAGCCACCTCTCGGCTCCTGATACCCCACAGGCCAAGCTGCCCCACCCACTTGGTCCCCATCTTATGAGGGGTCTCATGAGGGGTCAGCCCAGCAGGCCAGGAGCTGGACTCCTGGGGAATGAGAGCCAGACCTTGCCACGTGGGGGCCAGTGTGAGCACACCCCAAGGACTAGAGCCTCCTGCCTCCTGGACTCCTGGATGGGCCTGCAGGGGACCCCCAGCACAGTAGCAAATCCCATGCAGCTCCCGCGAAGTAGGGCTCCGGCCCTCTGCCCCCGCTCAGCCGTCCCCTGGGTGGGCAGCGCAGGGTGAAGAGTGAAGGGAGCCCCTGACCAGGCGTGCCCGTAGTCAGGGGGGGCCCAGCCTCTCCTGCACTGACCTTTGGGGGGTGCTTGGCCATGAAAGGCGCCCCTTCCCCACAGGGGTCCTTGCAGAGGTGGGATGAGGGTCGCAGAGGTCTCCCAGTCCAGGGACAGACTTTGCGATAAAAGTTGGGGCGACTCTGGCCACCCCAAGTTTCGCTGTTCCCTGAGTCCTCTCTTTCCCGTTGAGCCCGTGACAGGCAGACCTGGACCTGGGGGACAGGAACAGCCCAGTTCTTGCTGTCTAACGCAGGGGCACACAGGGACCCCTCATCTATGTCCCAAGCAGGGCCAGAGGCCAGGGCAGGGAGTCTCAGGTGGGGTGGGGGTGCAGGCAGCAGGGAGGGAGCCCTGGTCAGAGGCGGGAGTGGAATCCGAGGGCCCAGCATCCCCCCTGCCTGGCCCCAGGTGAGGACCAGGGAAGCAGCAGAGGCGGGGGAAGTGGGGTCAGGAAAAGTGAGCGAGGCCCAGGGGACCCGGCTGACCCTGGGGCCTGTGCTCGGCGCCTCGGAGTCATGACTTCAGCCACTCTGATTCCACGGAACAAGCGGGCCCTCCACCTGCTCTCACTGTGGTCCTCGCAGCCCCCCTGAGCGTGGCCTGGGCAGCCCCCCACATGCGGATCCCTCGACAGGCGCCTCCCACCCTGGGCCCTGCCCCCCCCCCGCGTGCCTCCATCAGGCCACTAGAGGCCAGGGTGCTGGCCAAAGAAGGCCGCTCACCCCAAGCTCCCCGCTGCAGGACTGGGGTGGGAGAAGGTTCCAGAAGGAAAAGGCTCCCCAGCAGCTCTAACTAAGCCCTCTGAGTGTGGCCTCTGTGGCTGAGCGTGGGCTGGACCGCGCTCCCTGGGCAGCAGCTGGTCCTTCCCTCTGGGTTTGTCCTTGGAAACTCAACAAAGCCTGCCCCGCCCTGTCACTTCCCCTGCTGTGGCCCTGAGTCTTGGCGAGGGGGTGCGGGGCGGGGGGGGGGGTGGGGGGGGGGGAGGGGGACTCACGCAGGAGTCCCTGATGAAGAGTCCAAGGCAGGGGGCAGGTGGGAGCGGTTCCTGGTGTAGCTGCTGGTTCTGGACTCTGCTACTACCCAGCCCCCAGCTGAACCCCAGCAGACCAGGTCCCGGCCCGCGCAGAGCACCCAGCATTCGAGTGTGGAGAATAGGCAGCACCCCCAAATCAGGTACCCACAGAGTGCCAGACCCGGGGCCCTGCCTCTCTGGTTTCTGGCCCACACCAGCCCGCCCGGCGGCCTGCCGTAGTGGTAGTGTAGACGCTGCCCCCTCCCGGATTGGAACCCAGCCCCCGGCTGCTGTAGAGACCCTTTCTTACAGTGCTGCTTCCAGCAGCCCCTCCCTGTAACTCCTTTCTTCTCTTCCTCCCCAAGAGTGGAACGGGCCACTTCCTGCCGCCCCTCTGGGGGCGCGCCCCCAGGGCCCCTCGGCTGTGGCAGGTAGGCGGAGCCGTGGGCCCCCCTCCCCCCCACAGCAGCGGCAGGTAGGGGCGGGCCAGTCTGGGGACCCCCAAAGCCTTGTAACCCGCCACTCGCACCCCATCAGGCCTAAGAGGCCGGCGGGGCTCCCGGCCTCTGCTGGGGAGACGACACGGCACCTGGGGCGCTCGGATGACCCGTGACAGCCCAAGGGTGCGGAGCCTTAGGGCGGGACCTGAGGCCACGGGCCAACTGCGCAGGAAATGCTGGGGGGCGGGGCTGGGGACCCGCCTGCATCCCAGGCGCTGAGGAGTGAGTGCCCTGGGCGACAAGGGGCCCGGGCACTGGGAGGCGCACCCAGGCCCCCACAAGGAAGCGGGGCTCCCCTTTGTGAGTGGGGGTGGCCCATGGGCAGGAGGGGAGGAGGGACAGAGATGCAAAGGATGTAAAAGTCCTCAAAGTTGTGCCAGGAGCCCGGGGCAGGCAGTCTCTAAGAGCATCGCTCCTGTGTCTGGGGTGAGTGGCAGCCTGATGTGAACAAGTGACATGCCAGTGTCCTGAGGCCCCTTGGGAGACCTAGCAGGCCCGGCTGGCTGGTGAATAAGCCCGTTTCCAATCCCTCCAAGCTCCACGCCCTGCCACCCCAGCACCCGCCCAGTCCAGGCCCAAACCTCCCCGAGGGACTCTTGCGGGGTTCCAAGGTAAGAGGACGGCGGCGGCGGCCGGGCGCTCCCCCTCTCCCACACCCAGGGGCGGCCAGCAGAGCCGGCAGGTAGCTGGGTCAAGGTGAGCACGAGGTTACCTGCCCCCAGTGCTCCCGGGGGAGCCGGGCACATGAGTCAGCGGCTCGGAGAGCAGCTGCCTGAAATAGCCTGCGGCTCCCCGGGGAGGGGGGGCCGATCTCGCACAGGGGTCCGGATCCTGGGGACAGTGCAGGAGGGAAGGGGGTAGGGCTGGCCCTTGCGCCGCGGAGCCCCTTGGAAGAGAATCCTGGTGGCGACCCACTCTGAGCCGCACCCCTCCTTAATGTGGGGTTCCACCTCCCAACCCCCCCGGGGGGTCACAGGACAAGCCTAGGAACTGCAGGATGGGGAGTGCGTGTGTAGGGGGTCCCCATGTGCTGCAGAGTCCAACCAGGCTGTGGGGCAGGGAGGGGCTTGGGCCTTAGAGAATTGGGGCCCAGGGCGGGGTCGTCCGATCTGCAGGATGCCAGGTAGATGGGGCGTGAGGGGCGCCTTGCCCCGACCCTTCACTGCTGCACCAGGAGGAAGCTCCAGCCTCGCGCATGCGCGCTCTGAACCCCCGGGCGCGCTCAGGCCTGTGACCTGCGTCCCGCATGGCCGCTGCGTCCCCCACGCGGACCCCCTCGGCCTTCGTCCTCTCCCGGGAAGCTGCCCGGGGCCGGTGGGAATGTCGCTGGCTCAGGCCCAGCGCCCCACTTGCCCTGCGTGACCCTGTGCCTCAGTTTCCCGGAATGCATGGGGGCGGGGTGGGGCGGGCGGCCGCCGTCTCCGCCCACTGACCCGGCCTCTCCCGCCCGCCCGCCCGGCGCAGACTGCGAGTGCTACGGGCACTCCAACCGCTGCAGCTACATCGACTTCCTCAACGTGGTGACGTGCGTCAGCTGCAAACACAACACGCGGGGCCAGCACTGCCAGCACTGCCGCCTGGGCTACTACCGCAACGGCTCGGCCGAGCTGGACGACGAGAACGTGTGCATCGGTGAGCGGGGGGAGTGGGTCGCACCCGAGCTAGCCTCGCGCACAGCCCCGGGCTTCGGAGACCGACCGCCGCTAGCCCAGAAGTGCCCGGACCCAGCGCGTGTGCGGTCACCGTCCCCTAGCCCCGCCTGCCCCGCCCCGGGAGGGAGCCGTCGGCTCGGGGACACCCCTTCCCCCCCGGCTGGCAGCCCCACGGGCCGGAGTCCTCCAGGGCCCGACGGCGACTCCGCGGACACGGCGTGGGGACCGGCCCAGGAGGCGCGGGAACACAGGTGGGCACTCCCTGACTTCTCGGCCCGCGCCTGTGTCCACTTAGAGTGTAACTGCAACCAGATCGGTTCCGTGCACGACCGGTGCAACGAGACGGGCTTCTGCGAGTGCCGCGAGGGCGCGGCGGGGCCCAAGTGTGACGACTGTCTCCCCACGCACTACTGGCGGCAGGGCTGCTACCGTGAGTGCGGGGCGCGGGCGGCGGGCGGGGGCGGGGCCGGGGCGGGGCCAGGGCGGCGGGCGGGGATGCGATTGGGTGGGGCCGGGGCGGTGGGCAGGGCCAGGGCCAGGGCGGGAACGGGATTGGGTGGGCTGAGGGTGTGGGCGGGGATACGAGGGAGGGTGGGGCGAGGCAGGTGTGGGCGGGGGCCAGGGCCGTGAGCCCGGACGGGGTGGGCGGGCCGCGAGGCCGGCGCTCCCTGGGGTGGGCCGGGAAGAGTCGGACGTCGAGCGGGGCTGGGGTGGCCGGGGTGGCCGGGACGGAGGGGTTTGCACGCAGCGGGAAGGGGGCGTCTCGCGGCGGAGAGGCCCCGGGCGGGACGGGCGGGACGGGCGGGCGGGTGGCCGGGTGGGTGTCCCCGCGCCCTCACTGCCCGTCTGCCCCGCAGCCAACGTGTGCGACGACGACCTGCTGCTGTGCGCCAACGGAGGCACGTGCCTGCAGAACCAGCGCTGCGCCTGCCCGCCCGGCTTCGGCGGCGAGCGCTGCGAGCGGCCCCGCTGCGAGCCCGACTGCGACGGCGCGCCCGGCGGCCCGCGCCCCGCCACGCTGCTCGGCTGCCTGCTGCTGGGGCTGGCCGCCCGCCTGGCCCGCTGACCGGCCGCCGCGCCGTCCAGGGCCGGGACCCGCCGCCCCGCCCCCTTTTTTATTTTACGGTCCTTATGGTTTCTACTCGGCCGGCGGGCCCGGGCGCGACGCCCCGCCGCAGCACCAACGCCGCGCCGGCCCCCGCGGCCCCCGCGGCCCGCGGACGGGACCCCGATCGGTCGCTGAGCGGGTTCTCTTTTCTATTCTTTCTCTGTTCTCCTTCGCCACCGGGCCCGGGGCGCAGGCGGGGAGGAGGGCGGGCCGGGGCCTTTGTTTTGTAGAGAACTATTTTTGTTTGTATTCGCCGCGCAGTTGAGGGGCCGCCGGCGCCCCAGTAAAGCCGCTCGCGGCCGCCTCCGCGCCCTTCTCCGCCTGAGCTCATTCCCGCGCAGACCCCGGGTTTCCCGCACACCCCCGGCCACCGTCAGGACGCCGTGCTGCCCCCCCCCCCCACCACCTCCTGTTGGCGGGAGAGGGGGCCTGGGCCCTTTCCTGAAGGGGACCTGGAGCTGGGAGCGCTTGTGCGTCTGGAAGAGGGAGGGGGAGGGGTGGGGGTTGGTCTCTGGATTCCCAGGGGGCCCCAGCCCCAAACACACCTGGGGGGGGGAATGAAGCCCAGTGGATGGGACCCGGGGTTGGGCGCCCCCGCCCTGCCCCAAGGCCCCCAGTGTAGCTCTCGGTTTGGCCTTGAGAGGCCTGGGAAGGGAGAAAGGAAGGACTAGAACTGGACGTGACTGCGACCCCCAGCGCCCCCTCCTCACTGCCCAACTCCAGTAAGTGCCTTCCCGGCCCCAACGCCCCCTCAGCATTCACGGAACCAAAGCGAAGCCCTACAACCAAAGCAAAACCCTGCACTAGAGCAAAAAATGTGTGTGTGTGTTCCTGAATGCAGTTCTGAAAGGCCTTTGTCCTTTCAAGCAAGCCTCTGGTGGCTAAGTTAGGGACCCTCGTCGGGGGCTGCCAGATGGTGCCCTCAGGTGGAAGATGGCCAGCTGATGCCTTTTGGAGGACCTGGCAGAGGGGACAACAGCCCTGGTCGCTGATGCCCGCCCCTTTTAGCAGTGGGGAGCTGGCGGCAGCCCTGGGGCCGGCTTCCTGTGCACAGCTGTCTCAGGCCCTCAACTGCACTTCCTTCTGGACACCCAGGCCCCCCTCAGGTCCTTCCTCCCACACTCCCCCAGTCACTCCAAACACCCACCCAGGGCAGAGCCAGCTCAATGTGGCCCCCAGGAAACCGGACGACAGAGCCGCCTCCAGACACTCCAGGGCCATTGCAAGCATCTGCCGGCAGAGAGGCTGGGGTGTGTGCATATGTACATGCCAGCTCACCACACACACAACTGCACATAAGTGCTAGGTGCATACATACATGTAAACATAGGTGCACACAAGTACACGTGTACCACTGCAAGTCTGTACACAAATATGTGCTGTCTGTGTGTATACAGGCATACATAAGTGCATGTATTGCTGTACGCATGCACATACACGTGTGCACACAAGATCATGCATGCACTGTATGCATCATGCGAGGGTGCATGTTGTACATACATATTCATGTGCACATGTAACATATGCCTACAATGCATGCACACAATGTACACGCAGGTGCGGTACATTGCTGCCCATGTGTACACATGTGTGCAGTTATGTATCCAGACATGCATATACATGCATTCACACACAGCTGGAGGTCCGATTCTCCCAGCTCTGCGGTCCAGAACCCAGCCTGCAAGGGAAAGGTCCAGATGGGAGCGAGGGTCAGGCCCAAGAGGGGCTGCGGGCCTGACCCACTCCATCCCCAGGCCAGCAGGGCCAAAGGTCGGTGCGGAGGGCTGGGTTCAGCGGGGCACCCCCCGCGCCCCTGAGCCTGCACCAAAGGCTCCACTGCCGCTCATCCTGCTGGTGGCCCCCTGGGTGTGGCGGGGGGGGGGCAGTGCCCGCCTTCTGAGCTCGCTGTGTCAGCTGCCCGGGGAGCAGGCGCCACATGCCACGCGGCTGAGGTGGCCGTGTGCATCGTCCATCAGAGTGGCAGCTGGTCCCGGAGGACACCTCAGGCCTGACCTCAGCTGCGGGGTGAAGGGAAGTGGCTGGTGGCCATTTGCAACCCTGACATCTCCCAGGCAGCGGGAGAGAGTACCACACGGCGGGGGGAGGGGGGATGAATGCGGGCCCCGACTCTACTCCCAGTACTCCTGCTGGGCTCAACAGTCCGACTAACCACCGAACTAGTAATTGACCCCACCATACTCACCCTCCAAGCAGCCCCAGGCAGAAGATCCCCCCTTTCCCCCTCAAAGGGCCTGCCACTGCCTGGGTGCCTCTCCCTGGCCGCTTTCCTCGGAAGGGCCCCTGCCTGCCCCCGTCCCCACCTAAAGCAGCCAGGCACCCGACTGCATCGCTGGACACTGGGGTGCAGCTAAGGCACAGGTCAGGTGCAGGTCACACCCCCATGTGACCACATCCGCGAGGCCTCACCTCTCAGGCAGGCTGGTGACTGCGGGGGCACAGCGGGGCTCAGGCCTGTCTGCTGACGCATTTCTAGTGCTTTCCCATGAGGCCGACCCAGGCCCTCCCGGCCTCCCTCAGCCTCCCGAACTGGTGCTGATGCCGCCCGCCGCTCCTTGGGGGGACTGCCGCGGAGCTCAGCTCTGCAGGTGGGTGAGGGTCTGCCAAGATGGGCTCCCATCTGGGATGCGGCCGAGCCCCGGCAGGGCTGCAATGAGAGCTCACCCAGGAGGGTGCTCACTCGACTCCTGTGGTCAGTCCAATTCGGCCCACTGGCCTTCAGCCGCCAGCGCCCTCACAACCGCTGGACCACAGGAAGTGCTTTCTGGTGAACTGTTAGCCTACGGCTTCCGGGGTGGCCTCTGTGGGGGACACAGAGGGCGCGGCTTCCCGGAAGCATAAGATGGCCAGCCCACTGCATCAGCGTCCTGGGGGGACCCTCCCAGGCCCCAGGAAGTACATGGGCCCAGGTGCGCCAGTGGAGCTCTGCAGGGGAGCCGTAGAACCCACCTCCTGGCCAGCGACAGTGAGTGTGGGAGCAGGTCAGGGGCACGTCCCCCCATCTCCCGGTCTGGGCACCCCGGGCAGGGCGTCGCTGGGGACTGCTGTGGGCAGGGGCAGGCCCGGGCACCCCTCCCCACACTGGGGCCCTCTGCTGAGGCTGGCGTTTCCACTGGACAAACCTTGGTGCCCACATCCAGATGCATGGAGGACCCCTCTCCCCCCCAACAGCACCTCTGAAGGGCTGGAGAGCCACAGGGGTTCAGGCTGGGCACCATCCATCGGCTGGAAGGAGCAAACCCCCCCCACCACCGCCATGGTCTGGAACAGACCAAATAGTCGAGCAGGTACCAGCGGTGCCGGGGCCCCTGGGCTGAGTCTGGATCTACACCCGCCAGTTCTCCTCCTCAGGGGGTCCCAGGGACCGTGGGGGGCTCAGACCTGCTGCCCCTCGCCGGAAATCTCCCCACAGAAGACCACAATCCACAGCTCAGACAAACGGACCACCGCACACATCTAATTTTAGAAAATAGTTTAGTACTTTTGTTAGAAAATTCATTTACAGGAGGTTATTCACATATACATAGCAAATGTGCTCCTGAAAAATACATGAAAACGTTTAACTGAACCGCACGAGAAATCCAAGGCAAATCATGTACAGAGGAGCGACCCAAGGCTCTGGCGGGTGCCCTGGTGTTGTGGGGAGGGCAGTGGAGAGAGACGGGCAGCAGCTGGGCTTCCCGCCACGCGGACACTCCCCATGGCTGGCCCACTGGGACGAAGGCATGCCCCGGGCAGGGCGGGGGTGGCTGTGCTGGGGCAGGGCTCAAACCCCGAGCGGGCCCTTCCCAAGGCTCCAAAATCATACATCAGACTTCACAAAGCATTTGGTTTATTTTTTGGTTCTTTTTGGTTTGTCCTGTTTGGGGCCCACGAGCAGCTGTGCTCAGGGCTGACTCCTGGCGGCTCAGACGCTGTGGGGTGCCGGGGATCCAGCCAGGCTGGCTGTGCGTGAGGCGAGTGCCCGTCTGCTGTACTGGGGCCCTGGCACGGGGTGGGCTCCCTCACCAGCGTGGGGCTCCCTGAGGCTGGGAGCATCCACTCAGCCCCACGGGGCCGCACAGCAGCAGACACAGCCCCAGGAGGCGTCTGAACGGAAGGGCGTGTCTCGGGTACGGTGGCACGGTGTCCTGTGAAAGCCCTCCCTAGCCTGCGGACGTTTCCCACGACACAATGCCCCGATGGGGCAGTGGCACTGTCCCACGGGGCGGCTGTGGGCACTGCCAGCCGCTGCTCTAACCCCGTCCTGCCCTCCTGCCTGGACATCTGCCACTCAGGGAGGTCTGTGCCCAGGCCTGGGTGCGGGGGGCCGAGCCTGCCCTGCTCCTCCCACACGGACTCGGGCCACACACACACCAGGTCTGCCGCCTGCCCGGACCCAAAGCTCAGGGGGCTGCGAGCAGTACAATCCCCAGCCAGCCAGGGCTTCCCAGGAGCCGCCCGGCATGAAGCCAGCATTTGGTGGCCGATAGGCAAGGGCACTGCCCTGCCCCCCTCCCCCATCAGGGAAGCGGGTGCCTGTGCCAGAGCCCTCCGCTGTGCCCCAGCAGCACCCCAGGCCCGAAGCAGGGGCTTTGAGACGCTTCCCCCCTCATCCTGCCCAGAGGTCAGTCTCAGGGCAGTCGCTGCCAGCAGCCGCCCTCTCCCACGCGTCTCAGCTATGAACTTGGTTCCACAGAAAAGGCTTAACACTCTAAGCCGGGAGAGAAAAGTGATGTTCTGACGTTTCCAAGAGTTTCGGGACTTGCTATACAAATGTACATTCCTACCTGAGTCGAGCTCCCTGCCTGGCGGGGGGAGACCCGCCTTCCTGAGTGTCCACCTCAAGGACGTTATTACCGACACAGCTCTGCGCGAGCTCCTCGCCCCCCACCCCGCTCCCGAGGGGGCGCCTGCACGGGAGTGTGCTGGCGGGCACGGGGCCGCGGCCTACAGGAGCTTCCGTCTCTTGGGGTAGCTGTCGCCGTCACCCAGTGGCCCCTTGTCCCAGCCTGCGGTCCTCTGCGGGACGCTGGCAGCCCGTGGCTCCCCGGGGGGCAGCGTGTCCAGGGGGCAGTGTGCAGACAGCAGCAGGCCGCTCAGATCCTGCATGCCCCCGAGGGTTCCAGGCTCCCCCAGCACGGGGCAGACGCGGGGGGGCTGGGGACCCAGGGAGACACCCAGTCTTCTCAGCAGCCGGGGGTCCCGGAGGCGGTCCTGCACCGGGGGCTTCTCGGGGTCCTTGACGGGGACCGGGGACTCACCGGAGTCGGGGGGCGTGAGGTAGGGGGACGAGGTGGTGAGGCCGCCATCCAGTGTGCTGCTGGGGAGGCCCCCTGGGGGCCGGGCGGCCTCGGGGGCGCCAGCGGGCGGGTGCGTCAGGCTGCGATGCAGCGGGCCGGCCTTCAGCTTCAGGATCTTCATCGCGTCGTGCCGGTAGCTGCGGCTGCATGTCTTCACGATGGCGCCGCGCTTCTGCGCATCCTGGATCAGTTGGTTCCAGTGCTCGTTGTCCTGGAATCAGAGCGGGCACTCAGGAGCGGGCAGTGCAGCAAGACGCAGAGAAGGCCGCACCCCGCCTCCGCCGCCAGCAAGCACAGCCACGCGAACATCACGACAGAGAGCAGCGTGTCTCAGTGCAGCTCTGCGGCCCTGAACAGACGCTTCCTGCAAAGCACTGTGGAGGGGGGAAGGTAGGAAGGGGGCACGCGGGGGCTCTCCCCCCGTGGTCCCCAACACCGGGAGAGCATCGCCCCCACGGGCCCCAACACGCCCTGACACGCAGCCAGCGGCCTGGCCGCCAAGTCTTGCCAGGAACAATACTTGGGACACCCTCATTCCACACGCTCTTCAGGCAGGCTCCAAGTAGCTATGAAAAGTTTTCAAACTGTCCAGTTATACAGGAAATCTCAGGGCAGACAAACATGATAATACGTAGATTTTTAATTTGGTTTTGTTCCGAGGTCACACATGGCAATGCTCAGGCTTACCCCTGGTTCTGCACTCAGGGGTCCCACCCGGCGGAGCTAAGGTGACCCTATGTGGTGCCCAGGTTGGCAGCTTGCAAAGCAAGAGCCACTCCATGTACTCCTCTAATATATGGTAAAGAGAAAAAATTCGTTGGCTACGGGCACCCGCCTGGTAGCGCGCCTATCTGCACTAAGTGACTGAGCTGGCGGTGTTGGAGCGCCCTCTGGTGGTCCTGTGCTGGCGTCGGCAGTAACTGAAAAAGGATCTGGTCACCTCTCAGAGGAGTGTGCAGTTCCCGGAGAGAGTGGGTGGCACCCGGGAAAAGCATCTGGAGACCCTGCAGGCCGCTCTCGCCAGGCTGCTCTGTGCGTGCACGGCCCAATGTGACTCTAGGACAAACACCCGCCTCCTTCACAGCGGCTCCAAGCAGCAGGCCCGGTTTCTCCCCCAGCAGCGCCTCAGGTGTGACCCAAGCACAGAGCTGGGGCAGCCCTGATGCCAGCAGGGGTGTACCAAAACTCAACCAAAAACCAAAACTCAACCAAAAACCAAAACTCAACCAAAAACCAAAACTCAACCAAGATTTCTTTTTTTAATTGGGCCTCCCTGGAGCCGAAGAGCAGGTATGGTGGGAAAGGTGTCTGCCTTGCATACAGCGGACTTGGGTTCGATCGCCAGCATCCCATACGGTCCTCCCAGCCCCGCCAGGAGTGAGTTCTGAAAGCAGAGTCAGGAGTGACCTGCGCATTGCCGGGTGTGTCCCAAAAACTAAACACCAACAAAGGAAAAGGGAGAAAGGACGGGCAGACAGAATGGGACGGACACACTCCCCTCTGCAGGGCAGGCACTCACCATCAGGGTACGCAGATGCCCGAGGATAAAGAGGCTGTACTTGGCCCGGGTGATGGTGACATTCAGTCGCTGCAGACTGGACAGGAAGCTGAGCCGGAGAGAAACACAGTCACACACACGCTTTTGAGCGTCACTCAGCAGACCAGACGGGACAGAAGCTTCTCTGGGCTCCTCCCCGACCCCTGGCAGCAGAACCCCCCAAACTCCTGTCCACGGCCCGTTCAAACTTGAGCAGAATATTGCAAACACACCAGCAATATGATGAATGCCCTTGAATGCCCCTGAACATATGACAGGTCAATTTTTCTCTATCTTAAACATCTTTAAAATGAAACGATGGTGGGGCTGGAGAGATAGCACAGCGGGTAGGGCGTTTGCCTTGCACGCGGCCGACCCGGGTTCGATTCCCAGCATCCCATATGGTCCCCTGAGCATCACCAGGGTAATTCCTGAGTGCAGAGCCAGGAGTAACCCCTGTGCATCACCGGGTGTGACCCAAAAAGCAAAAAAATAATTAAAAAATGAAACAATGGTGACATTTATGGAGGATTATACATACACCAAGAGCATCTGAAGGGAGCTCAGAAATGAGAGTGCCATCCTGATGGGGGATGGGGGGGACACCTTCCGGTCACATGGGCCTGCTCAGTGGCCGCCACTACATGAGAAGCCTGACTGCCGAGAAAGGAGAAATGACCACTTCCCTTAAGACCATGGGCAACGGCCGACTCCTACTGCTCTCCATGAAAAGAGAAAGTAAGAGTCCCTGGATCCAAGACTTGGGGATTTCTGTCTCACATCAGAGTCCCTGGCACCTTTAGCAAGGAAGAGGACAGAAGGTGGACCAAGCAAGCCCAGCGGGAGTCCTGCAGACAGGGGGAGTCCCTCAGGACCCCGCGCAGAACAGAACCGGGCCCCATCCGTGAACAGACCCAGGTGCAGGGGTGAGTAAGGCACCAGGAGACGCGGCTGACAAGGTCTCCAGGGCTCTTGAGAATGAATGAGGCGCCACAGTGAGCTCTCTCAAGGGGTCCCCGAGATCCAGCTCCGGGTTCTGGCCACAGTGAACGGCAGCGGTCCCTCACCCAATGGAGCCCTGCACGGAATTCGCTCGGACACACGTCACGATGATGCAGTCCTTCTGGCGGCCCTGGAACGCGTCCACCGTGTCCACTTCTGCCAGTCTGGAGCAGAGAGAGTATTTGTCAGAAAAGGGGCCGCCTTGCGCCACTGCCGCATTGGAAGTCTCAGGACTTCCCAAGATACTCCGGGCTGTTTGTAAACAAGAAAATGATGCCAGAATGAGAGACTCCCGGCTGGCCACTTCCAAGATCACTTAAGCAGCGCTGACCTTTTCTCTGAGTGGTACCGCTGACCCCAGAGCGCTCCCACCTGCTCCAGCCACCCATGTCCCAACAACCACGGCCTGGTCACCACCACCCCGCCCCCGACCGCCATCGCCATCTCCGTGGCTTTTCCTGTTGTGGAGAATCTGTCCAAAGCCACGGTTTTGGGCTTTGCTTGCTCAGCGCCACGTTTCGGCCTCTGTGCTGAGACTCGGACAGGTGCGCATCTGATTCTCACGCGACCCAGAAGGTGACAGAATGGTACACTGAGATTTACCCAATAACCGGGGGTGGGGTTGGGGGGCACGCACTACTGCGTTTCATTGCTAAGCTGCCCCGCAAGAGCCTCTACTGCACCTGCAGAAACAGCAGGGAGCCTCAGGGTCTGCTTTTCCTCGAGGGCTGGCTCTCAGCTGAGTGCAACTCTACTCCCGAGTCAAGTGCTCTGATCACTGTCGCACGGGGGATCCAAGTGCCTGGCCCGCTGCTGTCCAGAGGGGCTGGGCCCTCTTGTCAGGTAGGATCTAGGGTAACATCACTATATGCTGAGCCACCCTGGACGTTCCAAAGGCCATGCGATCCCGCCTGGCCTAGGGGACACACAATCCTTTAAATGCTGCTGAATCCAGCTGCGTATCAGTGAAATGTGTGAGCACTAGGCCGGGCAATCACTGAGGGCAGAGCCGGGAGGGAGCCCTGAGCGCCAGTGTGCGCCCCCTGCAAGAGGCGACTCTTGCTACTGTTTCCGGGGAGTCGCGGGGTGCTGGGGACCGAACCTGCTCTCACACATGCAAGGCAAGCGCTCCGCCATGGAACCACGTCCCCAGCCGTGGGTTTTCTTATCTCCATGTTCACAGAAGTCAACAGGAAAGTTTGGGTTCTAGATTTTTCCTTTTGGAAAATTCCTTATTACAAATTCCATGTCTTATAAGCTCTAGTTAACTAGATTGTTTTTCCTATGTGTGCAGGAGTTTCTAGCTTGAGCGCAGGACAGGAGTGAGTCCTGAGGACCACTGGCTGTCCCCCAGCCCTGTCCAAAAAAAAAAAAAAAAAAAACTTTTGAAGGGCCAGAGCACAAGGACAGCAGGTGGAGTGTTGGCCTTGCACATGGCCAGCCCAGGATGGATCTGGGGACCCCCTTTGGTCCCTTGAGCCTTGCCAGAGGAGATTCCTGAGTGCAGAGCCAGGAATAAACCCAGCTCCCCCCCCAAAAAAGGGAAAAAGAAGCCTTGAGCTCACATTCACTCATGCACACGTAAATTCTTCTATTCCATGTTACCATTACAGGCTCCCGCTGAGCAGCGGTAGGGCCCGGGGCCAGCCCAGCAGGGCTGGGGGCACGTGTGCGGACCCTCATGCTCTGCCTGTGCACCCAAACCCTCGCCAGCCTGTCAACATTCACTCCTGAGTTCAACCCTAATCCGTCAGGGTACTGAAAACAGACACGATCTCTGTGACACAGGCCGTGAGAATTCCCAGAGCAGGGATGAGACGAGGACGGCCACTGTGGAGATGGCCGGGCCGGGCCCCTGTGACCAGCCGGGCCCTCCTCTGCCCCAACTTCCCGACGCCGCTCACCCTTTCCGGTCAAACTCCCTGTCCAGGTCCCTCTGAATCAGGATCTTCTGCGCCCGGTAGTGGGTGATGACGCCGATGTTCCGGAAGGTCACGTCCTTCCGCTTCTCCTTGATAAGTCTGATTATTTCCATGACCAGTTTGATTTCTTGGACGTTCACATATGAGCTAAGCAAGAGAAACGGAAGCCCACCCCCGCTAGCAGCAGCCGAGCGCCCGGTTCCACTTCACTTCCCTCAGCCCCGAGCGACCGGCGCAGCTGTAAGCGGACACGGACATGGACATGGACATCCAAGCGTCCACCGGGCGAGGCTGCGAGAGGGGCGGCCGGCTCCTTCTCCTTCCCGTCAACAGACAAGAGCAGGAGGAGCCCCGGCTGGAGAGGCGGGGGTCTCCCGCCCAGGCCCTGCCCAGGGCAGCTGTCCTCCTCCGGGCCCCGCCGCCGGCCCCTGCCCCAGCTGCTCTTCCTCGGCCCAGGCGCCTGCCCAATCCGCCTCTCTGGCAGAGGCGGCAGCAAACTGCCTCAGGCTCCCTCCCCCGCGGTCCCCCGCACACTTCCCTGGACACGTCCCTACCCACAGCTCAAAGGGCCACACCCCACAGTGCAGGGGACCCACTCTGCCCCTCTGCGCCACCCACGAGGATGTCTGTCACGCCAGCCCCCCAGCCTCACTCCGCTAGTGACAGACACGGGGAAGCGCACAGGAAGGCGCTGGCCAGGCACGTGGCGACCCAGTCCCACCCCTGACGGGGCAGCTGCCCTGTGTGACCCGCCAACACAAACTCTGAGCAGCCCCGCAGGGTGTGACCCTCCCCCCCAAGAGCTGGCATAGGAATAGAAACGCGGTAATGCACGGCTGAAGAGAAGAGGGAGGGAGGGAGGGAGGGAGGGAGGGAAAAAAGGAAGGAGGGAAGGAAGGAGAGAGGCAGGGAGGGAGGGAGGGAAGGAAGGAGGGACCTGGGCAACTCACTCATTATCCCGCCGCTCTGCGCCGTCGCCCACATCAAACACCAGGTAGGGCTGGAAGGGCCAGTCTGATGAGCAACGCAACATCTCGGTCGTCCTGCGACACAGGGCCACCTCAGAAAACACGTCACTGTGGGGGAAACTTCTCTACCACCCGATTTTCCTGGGGGCCGGGCAGGGGCAGGTCGTGCAGGGGGGACACTGGTGGAAGCAGACAGACAGGCTCGCTTGACTTCGGTGTGTCTCAGTGAAAAGTGCCAAATGCCTCTTGCTGCTGTTCTGGTATTAGAGCTACGTCTATAACCGGGACACACACAAACACATGCACACGCACACGCACACACACGTGCCAAGTCGTGCACCTAATGCGTGGAGAGGGAGCGGTCAGTTATGTTAGATGAGGCGCCGCTTCTCCCCTCCAGAGCCCTGAGAAAGAACGAGCAAAGAGCATGCGCAGGACAGAGACCCAGGAACGTTACTAGGGACACGTCTGGAGGCACCCATGGGGCATCTGTCCCTTCCTTTCATCTGCCTTTGCAGCCATCTACACTTCCTGGATTTTTTATTTATTTATTTTTCTACACTTCCTGGGTTTTAGACAATGCTCAATGATCACTCCTGGTGGGCCCCTGGCAGAGATCACCCAGGATGCCGGGGATCGAATCCAGGACAGCCAGACGCCAAGGCAAGCGCCAAGCCGCTGTCCCCTCACCCGGCCCCCGGCCCTGGCAGGTGACGGGGAAGCAGGGCCGGGCCCGGGGGAGCGCCCACCTGTTGGTCTTCAGGCTCCTGTTGTAGACGTAGCTGGAGGGGAAGAGGCAGATGTCGGGGTGCATGCGGTACTGCACAGTCAGCTGCACGATGGGCATCCGGCCGATCAGGCTCTGCTTCACCTTCTCCTCCAGTAGCTTGTAGAAACGGGCCATCATCGACTGGTCGTAGCCGTACTCCTGGGCCTTCTGCAAGGGCCATGGAGCCGTGAGCACTGGGCGCCCCGCCAGCCCGGCTTCAGAGAAAAGGTAGGACAGCGGCCGCAGACCTGACTCAAGCTGGGGCTGAGCACGCACGCAGGCCTCGGGGGTCTCCCTGGGCGAGGTTTGTGGGTCCTTTTCCTCTGCTGCCCTAACCCAGCCACTAAACAGATGGCGAACCAAAAAACTGATTTAACTAAAAATATCAAATAATGTCTGGGTTTGGCTGACACTCCCTTAGTATGAACTGAAATAAATGAAAAGACTAATCAAGTGTCCGGCGTCACCCAGCTGTCACCCCAAAAAACAGGGGCCAGAAAAAGCACTGTGACATGATTCATTTGAAAATTGTTTTGTTTTCTTTTTTTTTGAAGTTTTTTGGGCTACATCTGACGATGCTCAGGGGTTCCTCCTGACTCTGCACTCCTGGAAGTTACTCCTGGAAGTGCTCTGGGGACCTTACAGGGTGCCAAGGGTCGAGCCAGTTGGCCACATGCAAGGCCAGGGTCCTCCACGCGGGGGATTCTTAGGTGACTCCAACTGGCCTGCAGTGTCCACACGGCACATCTGTCCACTGCTGCTGCTACCCTCTGCCCAGCAGGGAGGTGAGGGTCAGCCCCACCCCGCCATGCTAGGAGCCCTCTGGGAGCCCTGGTGCCCACCGCTTGCCAAGTCAGGGGCGCCTTCCCGCGGGCCTACCACACTGCACTCCACACCCATGGGCCCACCGCAAATAGAAGTGGGGGGCCGGAGCCTCCCCACGGCCCACCCGACTCATTCCCTGGCACCCCACAAGGACCCTGAGCTCCCAGAGCAGAGTCTGGAGTAAGCCCTGAGCACAGCGCATGCGGTGTGAGCAGGCGTACGCGCGCACACACATATACACACACAGAGCAACAGATAACAGGAAAACTGGGCTTGGCCTGTGAGGTGACCCCTGTAGGAACCCCAAGAGTGCACACTGCAGCACCACACAACGTCCAGTCACATTTGGGACTCGGCGCCAGCCTGCAACAGCCCCCCTGGCACTGTGGCATAGGGCCGGGGGCTTCCTACAGGGGACACAGGCCCAGCCGCTGTCACTTGGGTCTCCCTCTCGCACCTCGGGGCTTTCCTGGGGCTCGTTCACAAGTTCCTCTACACATCCGCCCCAGGGCCCCTGGGCACAGCCAAGGGGAGCCAGGTGTCAGACTCCAGGAACAGAGCGGCCCAAGCAGCTCCATGTTCCCAGCCACAAGACCAGGGGTGAGCGGAGGCGCCCTCAGTGGCTGCTCGGGGCTCGGCTCTCCTCACCCACCCCCCAGGCTGCCGGAGCCACCATGCAGACACAGCTCCCCTTGACTCCTGGGGCTTCTCCCCTGTGGCCTGCTGAGTGGAACCATCGGCCCTCCCTGCCTCCCTCCTCTGAAGATGCTTCTCTGGGCACCCGCACGCCCCTTCCCGACTTCCCCCCCCAGGAAAGACCCTGCCCCCCGCCCAACAGCGAAGAATAGGAAGCCCGCAGCACCTCTGCAGGCTGGCATCGAGTTACCATGGAGATAACGGTTGGGGGGAGCTGCTTGGGGTCTCCAACCAGGATGAGCTTGTTGCAGCGATGGATGAGGGGCGTCAGGGTCTCCACCTCACACGCCTGCCCGGCCTGGGGATGAGCACAGCGCGGGGTCAGTGGCACCCCCCGTGTCACGGGCCCCCAGACCCATCGCAGCTGCGGGCACAGAAGAGCGCCCCTTCCTCAGCACCCCACGGGCACAGCCAAGGGTCCCCTCTGCTCAGGAAAGGCAATGCCATCGATGCCAAGAATGCTGAGCCGTCACAGCACCCACTCAGCAACATGCCCCCCATGGGGTCCCCACACCCCCCCTCCCGCTCCCCAGCAGGGTCTTCCAGGCTCAGCCCCCAGCGGCCGCCCTCCCCTCCCCTCCCCGCTCATCTGAGCCATGGGGTCTCCGCTGCTTGCTGGCTGCCGGGTCACACCCGCCGCGGAGGGATGCTACGCCATGCCCACTGGCTCGCTGACCTCGTCCACGATGACGCAGCTGAAGGGCACGCCGCCCTGGCCGCGGAAGGCCGCCTCCAGCAGCAGCCCCCCGCTCGTGCTCAGTGTGCAGCAGATGACGTGCGACTCCAGGATGATGAGGCTCTGTGTCTTCTGGGGCCGTCCCTGGACCTGCGCGCACAGACCAAACCATCGGACTCCAGGCTGCGACCCCCCAGCCCCCGACAGGAAGCGGGGAGAGGAGCAGGAAGCCCCGGGAGAACAGCGACTCCATGGAGCCACTACCGAGTCACGCCAGGCTCAAAAGCAGCTCAGCCAGCCGGGATTCAATCCCCTGCACCCCACAGGGTCCCCCCTCAAAGACCACCAGGGGTGATCCCCGATAGAGCCAGGACAGAGCCCTGAGCGCCTCCGGGTGTGGCCCCAAATTGCAGCTGAGATGGCACAGCGGGGAGGGCATCTGCCTTGCACCCGGCTGACCTGGGTTCAGTCCCTGGCACCCATATGGTCCTCTGAGCACTGCCAGGAGTGACCCCTGAGCGCACAGACAGGAGTCAGCCCTGAACGTCACTGAGTGCGGCCCCCAAAACAAAACAAAAAACAGCTGAATTTGAAATAAGTTAAAAAAAATAGCAGGAAAACGGTACAGTAAATAAACCCCTTACCTCTTTGATTTTAGATGCCAGTTCCTGCCTTTCTTTCGAAACCTTGGCAATTTTATCATCTAACTCTTGTCTCTGGGGAAACAAATCAGTGTCATGATCAATGGTGAAATGTTAACTCCTCCCAAGGGCCGTCCCCTCTCAAGTGACCGACGCCTGCCCCTGCCCAGCCCCGTCCAGCTGCAGCCCCGGGCCCCGAGCTACGTCACCCACCACGGCTGGCCTGGAGTGGGATGCATGAGGACAGCGACAGCCCTGGTGCTGAATGTGTCTGAACAGGGCCCTTCAGGCCCTTCCGGCCCAACTCAGTTCCCACCGTGGGGTCCCGGCGACCCACATCTGCCATTTCTTCCCTGAGCTCACACTGCCCACAGCATATGGAAGAAAACCTCCCTGAGCGCCAATCGTGTGCCCTGGTCAGGCCCTGCTGGACTGCCGGGCTACAGCTGCCAGAGGCCCCAAGGGAACGTAGCAGCCCTAGGCCCGGTCCTGGTTCCTCCCAGGGTCGCTGCTATCGTCACTGGGGCCCAGGGGCACGGTGCTGCCAGCAGGTCAGCCTATCCCTGCAGGGCGAGAGCATCACCCCAAAACTGTCACTGTGCCTCGGGCCAGACCCCCAACAACTCAGGACCAAGTTTCAAGAAATTAAACCACAAGCTCATTTATTGGCCTTGCTTCAGAGACCCACAAACAAATCTCAAAAGAGATCAAAAGCCTCAGTGAATCTCAGACCTGTAAGGGCTGAACAGACTGGGGTCAACTGGAGAAGGGCGGGTCAGCCTGGTGCCTGCCCACGCAGACCCCTGACAGCCGCTTGCCCCCACAATCCAAAATCACCGCCATGGCCCCACCTGACTCCCCATCTCAAGACAAACGTCAATGAGATATAATCTGCTGAAAATTTGGGTATGTGGGTATTGTGACTGAAGTCACCACGCTTTCTTGGGGTCGGGTTGGCCACCTTCCCCACCTCCCTGTACCTCTGGAAGCTTCAAGGAGTCACTCTACACCTCAAAGCTGTCAACCAGTTAAAAATAGCTACTCCAACTGTACCTTCCCAAGAGAAACACTAAATTCCCTGAACAAACACAAGCACCTCCTAGTACCTGTACTACAAACCACGATGCACAAAAGGAGATGAAGAAAGAAGGTGCCTGTCATAGTGGAAGGCAGGGGGAGCGGCGGGCAGAGTGGGAGGGAAACAGGGACATTAGTGGCAGGAAATGTACATTGGCAGAGGAACAGGTGTTAGAACATCGTATGCCTGAAACCAAGTCAGGAATAGCTTTGTTATGGTCTACCTCACAGTGATTTGATTTAAAAATAAATTATTAAATTTTTAAAAATAGACGTGAGAGGGGGCTGGAGCGATAGCACAGCGGGTAGGGCGTTTGCCTTGCACGCGGCCGACCTGGGTTTGATTCCCAGCGTCCCATATGGTCCCCTGAGCACCGCCAGGCATAACTCCTGAGTGCATGAACCAGGAGTAAGCCCTATGCATCACCAGGTGTGACCCAAAAAGCAAAAAACAAAACAAAAAAAAATAGATGTGGAAGGAGAGAAAGAGGGGAACTGTGTTAGAGAGAGAGCACAGGATGGGGCCAGGGCGACAGTACAGCGGGTCGGGCATTTGCCTTGCAGGCACAGCGGAAACAAGCAGGCGAAGAAATAGCCCGAGCAGGAGAGCCAGCACAGCGGGCGGGCATCTGGCCTGCACGCGGCCCACCCAGGCCCGATCCCCAACATCCCGTATGACCCCCCGAGCACTGCCAGGACTGATTCCAGAATGCAGAGCCAGGAGTATCCTCTCCTGGTGTGCTTCAAAAACAAACGAAACAAAAGAACAACAAAACACAGAGCAAAGCAAGCAAGCAATGTCTTCAAGGGCGAGTATGAGCTTGAAGAGTAAGTCGGCTTCTTTCATCGGAATCCCAGACACCTGTGGACGCAGCAGAGCCAAGCAGCAGGGGACAGGCCAGCGGAGCCCCGGGCTTCCCTCCACTCACCGTCTCCCACCAAACAACGCTGCACCGGACGGTCACGGCATCTGTTTGCCACTGATCCCGCAGCTCTGCCACACACGGGCAGAGTCCGGGAGTCAAAATCCAAGACGGTCTGGCCCACAAAGTCTACACCGTTACTACTGAAAACTGTTCGAAACGCCTGCTGGCCCATGGGCCCTGGCCTATCACTTCTGCACGCGCTTGTTTGCACAAACGGAAGAGGAGGAATGCAGAGTACCTGCTTCTCCCTCGCCCCTCGGCACAGAGCTCGCTGGCGGGAAAGCTCGTCCAGCTGGTGATCCAGGCTCTGCTTCTGCCTATGCATGTCCTGAACGTGAGAAGGCAAATCTCTTTCTAGAAAGAACAGGGGTAAAAAATACATACATACGTACATACATATGTATATATTTATAACATATATGTATGTAATACATATGTACAATGGGTTGGAGCGATAGCACAGCAGTAGGGCATTTGCCTTGTGTGCAGCCAGCCTGGCAGAGCCGGGTTCGATTCCTCCGCCCCTCTCGGAGAGCCCGGCAAGCTACCGAGTATATCTCGCCCGCACGGCAAAGCCTGGCAAGCTCCCCGTGACGTATTCGATATGCCAAACACAGTAACAACAAGTCTCAAAATGGAGACGTTACTGGGCGCACTCAAGCAAATCGATGAACAACGGGAGGACAGTGACGGTGATATGTATAATACACACACACACACACACACACACACACACACACACACACACACACTCTTTCTTCGCCCTTCCAAGGTTCTGGCCCCCTCACTCGGACTTACTCATTCTGTGGCTGACTAGGCTGTCCAGGCTGAATTTTAGGACCTCAGTATTAATTGACTTCTCTGGACCCAGACGTACTAAATTGATATCTCCACAGTTTCCTGTTGACAGAGACAACAGCAGGGTCAGGCACGCGCCACTTGCCTCCGCAGTTACGACTCCAGGGCAGATCTAACATGCACTGCCAACCCCTCACAGGCTGGCACAGGGAATCAGGCATTGCAGACACTCCCCCAGCCCTGCACCCGGGGGCCGAGTGCCCATCACGGCCCGGCAGAGCCAGGCTCTGAGACAATATCCTGCTACCTGGAAGTGCTAAGTTAGGGCAGACCTGTCAGCACAGGACACAGCGGAGACACACAAACCCCCGTGCTGGAACGTGACTGACTTTCCAAGACACAGTCAGATGTGACCACTGGATCCTCTTCGAAATCCTCACGCCACGCCTGTGACTCTGCCTCAGTACCACCGTGCTCAAGACCATGGGTGCTGGGGGCCAGGAAATCAGGAGCACGTGGTCCCCACACTGCAGCATCTTCTGGGCGGCCAGGTGTCTCAGAAGCCACCCTGTCGGGGAACAGCCGCCCACTAGTGCCCCTGGCCTGTTCCCCCACCCCAGGCCCGTGAGAAGCACCATCAGAGGCAGGTGGATGAAGATACGGCCGTCCTCGACTTGTGTTCTTGGTCTGACTCAGTTTTCTCAATCTGATGCTGGCCTGGAAGTTCCATGTCTCTTCCATGTGTGGAGCCCAGGGATCAGTCAGGTCACATACACGCAACGGAAAGCATGTGACCAGGAAGCCACACCACGCTCCTGCCAGAAAGGCGCTGAACCACCCAGAACCCACCCACCAAACGCCTAGAAATTCTCCATCAAGGGGCCAGAGCGACAGTACAAAATGGGGAGGGCGTTTGCCTTGCACGCTGCTGACCTGGGTTCAATCCCCGGCATCCCATAGGGTCCCCCAAGCACCGCCAGGAGTGATTCCTGAGTGCAGAGCCAGGAAGAACCCCTGAGCATCGCTGCTGTGGCCCAAAATGCAAAGAAAAAAAAGAAAAGAAAGCAAGCAAAAAAGAAATTGTCCATCGATTCAAGTAATCCAAAGCGCCTTTCCTCAGGAGAGAGCACGCCACACACGGGACAAGCCCTGTCACACGCCCACACCATGTCATGCCCGAGCAGAGGCAGGAACAGCCCTGAACCGAAGCCAAGGTGGGATTCTCCCCTGACCAGCACGGATGAGCAGAAGCCACTAGATCGAGTTAAGTCTGCAGAGACCTAAAATCGCCAGAGACCCACAATGGCATTGGGACCAACATAACGCCCCCCCCACCCGGCTCATGTGCGTGTGCGCCAACATACACACACACACATACACACACACACACACACACACACGCCTTGCAAGCGCATGGCTGTGAGTTTCACCCCGACCTGAGCTCTGCTGCCAGAGGTCCCAGGTGCCACATGAGCATGTGTGACCCTCAGGGCACAGCCAGTGAGTGCCAGCCCCGGAATCACAAGTCCTGGTGCCCCCTGTGAGCACGAGTGGGCACCATGCCCTGAGCCCCAGCAGAGAACAAGGCCGAGGGGCTGGTTTGCGTACACCACACATATCCCTGCCCCCCAACACAACACCACACCCCACCTGGAGGAGGACAGGAGGGAGTCTGAGCGCTCCCCGGTCCCCCCGGCCCCCTGCAGAGCACAGCCACTAGAGCACAATCCCCGCCCCCCGCAGACCGTGTCCCCTCATAGCCAGCCCCAGCCCTAACCTCGGGTGCTCTCACCGACACCCACCCATGTTCAGCAGCTCCGCCAATGACTCCCCCACCTGAGGACCGTGGGCAGCTGGGCGCACAGGGGACTCACTCTGTCCTCCCCAGCCACCCCACGACACGCAGAGACAACGCTTAAGGATCGTACCCAAAGGGTTCTTCTTGTCTTTACATTTTTCTTTGAATTCGAGGATGATTTTCTTCATGAGTTCGTCCACGGCAGCATTGGAGGGCGCACACACCAGGACCCGGTTCTGTTTGATTTTGGCATTGGAGTTTTCATCCGAGTGGCCCCTCTTCTGGGTCTATGATCCACCACACAAACGACAACAAACACACCAATGAGCTCGACTGGGCAGCTCCGTTTTTCTTGTGCGAATGTTCAAAACTCCCCATACAAAGATAAATAAAAGCACTGATGTTTTAGGTCGAAAGGAAAATGGCACACGCAAACCTCCCCTTACTCTGCCTTCAATCCGACCAAAAGAGCGCCCGGAAGACACTGCAGGGGGTCTCCTGGCTGAGATGGACAGACGTCTAACACAGCCGGACGTTCCCCAGGCAGCGCTTGGCACGCATTTTTCCGAGGACACGCTCTGCGCTGCAGCTTCCAGCCAGAGCCCTGTCGGTCCCTCTGCTCCTGTCTCTGAAAGGCCCGTCCCACTCCGGGCCGGGCACACAGAATGCCCCGGTTCAGTGCCAGCACAGCCGCCCTCGTCGCTCCCTACCTCTGTCAGGAGGCGGTACAAGAGGCCGACGATCGTCTTGGATTTTCCTGTCCCGGGAGGCCCGTGGATGAGACAGATCTTGGCGACGGCCGGCGACTGCTTCACCATGGCATAGGCCGTCTCGATGGCTTTCTTCTGGTCTTCGTTGAAATCTCGCAGGTAGGAGGTCTGCAGGGAGACACCAGCGACTTCCTGTGCCGGGATCCAGGGCAGGGGGAGCGGCCCAGCACCCCACACACTCCAGTGTCTGTCTCTCTGTCATGCTGCGAGTCTCCCAGACAGACCCTGTCGGTCAATTCTGAGTGAGAACACTCTGAGACTTTCTTTCCTTAGACCATGACACCCAGCACATGAAGAGGGCCCAGGCAGCTCTCATTCCCTCGCCAACTCGGCCGCTGACCCCCTCCCCACCATTTTCCTGCAACTGGCGGGGGCCCTGGAGAAGCACACAGAAGCCCTGGCACAGATCTGAGCCTTCAAATGCTTTAGGCTTTTTTGGCATTTGGGTCACACCCAGTGATGCTCAGGGGTTGCTCCTGGCTCTGTGCTCAAGGGTCACCCCTGGCAGGGCTTGGGAAACCCTATGGCCTGATGGGGATGGAACTCAGGTCAGCCGCGTGCCAGGCAAGTATCTTACGAGCTGGACTATCACTCCGGCCCCTGGGGGCTCAAAATGATTCCTTGGCCCTGGCTCTTCTCTGTGGTCACTTCCTAACGCTCCTCAACCAGCCCGAGAGAGACACGTGTGCACACAGATGCCACCTCACCTCTGCCTGGGCAGCAATCACCCGACACAGGGGTCCCTCCATTACCGAATCCCACTCTTGGCTGCTTTCCAGCGCCCTGTCCCCTGGAAGGACCAGGAGCCGGGCCGGGGCCCACACTGGGCCCACACGGGGTGGCCAGGGGATAGCAGCCAAGGTAGGTGCCCTTCCCGCAAGGGCCCAACTCACGATTCTCTCTGAGCTCGTCGTCAGCAAGTCCTTGGTGCAGAAGTCCATGGGGTTGGGATTGAGCACGACTCTGGCCAGCTGGTTCCGACCACTCAGGAGAGACATGGCCTTCAGCTTCCTCTGTGTGGTTACCAGGGAGCTGATGACGAGGCAGCGCACGGACTCGTTGACGTGCAGGGGCAGCTGGTCCTGCGTCTGGATGGACAGGCAGCACTCGGACTTGCCGCTGCGCACTAACCGGGAAAAGGGGAGGAAGGTCTCAGTGTCCGGCCAACTGCGGCACCTTCCCAGGTGACCGCTGGGAGGCCAGGGCATGGTGCCTGTGCGGCGCCTTCCCCTGGCACCCCGGCGACCCCCAGCCCTGCAGGCCCCCAAGCTCAGCATGGCTGGCAAGGATCCAGGGCTGCCACCTCTCCCTCGGGCACCAGAGCACCGCATGGGAGCCCCCGATGAACAGGGCGGGAGCTGTCGCACAGGCTGCGTGCAGGCTGGCGGAGGCGACTGGGTCCATCCCCGCAACAGCAAAGGCACAGGAGCGGCCAGCGGCCGGGCTCTCGGGGCTCACTCACTGGCTGAGGTGCGGCGGAATTTCTGAACAAAGCCGCAGAAGTGCTCCTGAGCCTCCGGCACGTACTTCCGCTCGGTGTCCTTCCTGTCTCGGTCTCGTCTCTCAGGAACCAAGAACACCAAATCATTTTCCTTGGGATGAAGCTGTTTGGCCAATTCGCTTTCGTCCAGATGAACTGCAGAACAGTATCGGCACCGTGTCAGTGATGGGGACCCGTGTGTGACCTCCTGCGGCTGCTGCCTCCAACGCCGAGAGAACAGAGAGGCCCTTCCCCGGCGTTCGGGCCACACATGGCCACGCTCAGGGCAGACTCCCGGTGGGGCTCAGTGCCTGGGACTGAACCTCAAGTTAGCAGTCACATGCAAAACAAGTGCCTGGAGCCCTGAAGCATCTCTCTGGCCCTTCCCACAGATTTACACATTTTTCAAGTGAAATGAAAGAAATTCCACAAAGAAACAGAATCTATACCCACCATAAACATGACCCCCCCGCCCCCACCTTCCCACCAAGTCAAGCTGCTTTGCCCACCCGCGCCCCACGCCGGCACCTGCACTGGCACTTGGGCCTGCACCGTCTCATCAGAAGGGTTAGAGCCATCAATTGCCTGGTCTCACTGTTTCACTTGGGTTTGAGTTTGGGGCCACACCCAGCGGTGCTCAGGGCTTACTCCTGGCTCTATACTCAGGAATCACTCCTAGTGGTTTTGGCAAACCCGTACGGGGTGCCAGGGAGCAAGCCCAGGTCAGCCACATGAAAGGTCAGCACTCTACCCGCTGTTCTATCACTCAGGCAAAATCACGTTTTTTTTCTTTTTCTTTTTGGTCACACCCGGCACTGCTCAGGAGTTACTCCTGGCTCTGCACTCGGGAATTACCCCTGGCGGTGCTCGGGGGCCCCTATGGGATGCCGGGAATCGAACCCGGGTCAGCCGCGTGCAAGGCAAACGCCCTACCTGCTGCGCTATTGCTCCAGCCCCAAAAATCACATATTCTTAACCCATTCTTCTCATCAAGGCTTACAACACTCATGGTTAAGAGGTGCAACTCAACTTAGGGGCCAGAAAACTAAACGCTGCTGCTCCTCCTCCTTGAGAGAGAGAGAGAGAGAGAGACGTGGGCACATAGTTCAAGGGCCAATGGGAAGAGCTTACCCACAAACTCCCAATATTTCTGATTAGCAGGGAATTTTCGAAACAGCAATGAGTAGGACTTATTTGAAGAGCTGCTCCAATCCTGTGCCACCTGCGCAGAACAGAACAGAATCACGTGAGCACAAAGTCCAGAATATGCAACAGTCAACCCAAACCTCTGATCCCAGACCAGTTAAAACTCCTCGGCTGGCGGGTCAGAAGCAGGTAAGCCACCTGCCTCGCCTGCCCCACACCCAGGTTTGATCCCTGGGACTAGGTGCGGACCCCCGGCCCTGGCAGATGTCACCTCTCAAAAAGGCAGGATGTGGCCCCCACAGCAAAGCCCTTTGAAGGCCCAGACCAGCTGAGGCAATGCCCGGAATGCGGCCAACGCCATGTTCAATCCCAGGCACCACCAGGCGTCATCCTGAGTCCAGATCCCCGAGCACTATCGGGAGGGGCCAGCCCCCCCAAGCCCCTTTGAACATCACAGACAAGGGAACGTACACGGTTTAAAAGGAAGGTGATTGTCTACAAATAAAATGCAAAATAACGGAAAAAAGCACCCCAGCACTAGTTAATGAGTCACCAGAACAAGAGAACAAGCCACTCGGTGTCCAACATGTTAGCCGTGGCCAGGGAGAGAGTGACACTGACCACACCTGCCACTGACTCCACACCCTCTAAGGGAAGGTCACAACCTTTAGCCGCCACGTCCAGACACACTGGGCACCTTGGTGCCCTCTCTGCTCTGTGGCCCCAGGCCTTCCCTCTTGGGCACACGCCTCTGCTCCCAGCCGTCAGGGCTCCCCACAAGCCCCGTATCCCTTGTCTATCTGCTTCACCAATTTTTCCGTAACACACACCAGGCCCCAAACACCTGTGAATGAACATGAACCCCAATGTCCTTGGTTGTTCGGTTACGTTAAGTGTCTTACTGCATACTCAGGTTTTCACTGGAAACAAAACACCTTGAGAAAGTGAATATGCAGATGACCAATAGTCCAGAGGGCAGGGCACTTGCTTTGCATGCAGCTGGCCTGGGTTCCATCCCCAGCACCGCATCTGGTCTCCCGGCCCAACCAGGGGTGATTCCTGAGCACAGAGCCAGGAGTCAACCCTGAGTTCGCTCCCAAACACCAAACCATTAAAAACAAAAATGCACTTACCGTTTCAAAAGTATTCAGTATCACCAGCGGGAAGAAAACGTTGAAATACTCCCCTGAGTCCTGGAAGCGCACGGGCACGGGCCTGGTAATGGCCTGGCACAGGCTGGCGGGCGGCCCACACTGGTTGAAGTTCAGGAACATGTCGAGCTTCCACTTTAAGACCTCTTTGACGAAGGCATCGGCGATGGCCTGCGGGGACAGATGGACGCTGGCCGGGTAGACCGTGGACAGGGACCTGTTCTCGGCAAAGGGAGGCCTGAACACAGACCTGGAGGACGCAGTGGGCGCTGAGAAGACGCTGCTCCAGGGGCCCTTGGTCTCGGGCGGGGTCTTCAGGGTGGGCGGCACAGGGGCTGGGGCAGGCTTGGGTGGGGGCGGGGGCGGAGGTGGGGCGGCCTTCGGCGGAGGGGGCGGAGGGCCGGCCTTGGGCACAGGCAGCACCCCACTGGCCTTGCTCTTGGCTGGCCGCGGGGCAGCAGAGCTGCTCTCCAGAGACCTGGAGAAGTTCGCCAGGCGCGAGGTGTGGCTGGAGCTGAAGACCTTGGTGTTGGTGGGCCTGGGCTTGGGCCCGGGGGGCGGCATGGTGGGCTTGAGGAACACAGTGGCGGCGGCCTTGGGTGTGCCCTGGCCCCTCGCGGTCTCTGCACTGTCCTTGTGCTCGAACCTGGGGCCCTGCGGGGACTCTGCCCGCCCCGTGGCCAAAGCCGTCCCCTGCACGGCGGTGCTGTGGTCACTCTCCATCTGGGAACACAAGTCCATGTCCTGTGGGTCGTGCTGGGTGAGGAACAAGCTCTCAAGCTCAGAGTCGCTGTCGGAGTCCGGCTCGGGCTGTGGGTCGGCAGCCACCCCCACGTGTCGCTCAGGCTCCGCAGTGGCCGCCACCGCCGAGTCTGCCAGCCTGACACCTCCGTCCATCACGTCAGAGCCGGCTCTGGCCCTCCCGGGGTCCGTCTTGAGGAAGGGCTTCCCCAGGCCCTCGGCGAAGGCATCGGGGCCTGGTCTGCGGTCAGCGGGTGCCGGCTCTGGGCGCCGGGCCTCGGCCCAGTGCTCGGGGCGCTGTCCCCCTTTCCCGACGCCCAGCCTGCTCCACATCGCCCTGCGCACAAAGTGTGGCTCCTGCATGGTCAGCAGCTTCTTGTTATTTCTGACTGAGAGCATCTGGGGCGCGATTAATTTGGTCTTTTTCTGGATATCGACTGCCCCGGCCACCTTGCCGTAGTCCCGGAGCTCCGAGATGCTGTCGCGCGACCTCTGGGACAGGTCGAAGGCCTTGCGAGGCGCCTTCTTCAGCCCCAGTCGCTCCGCCTTCGAGGCAGGCTCGGGAAACTGGCGGAACTTCTTGGGCGGGATGACAGCAGGAGTGGCCCGACACTTGAGGTAATGGGTCTTCGCCGGCCCCTTCCGGGGCTCCGAGTGGGCCTTCTTGGTGCCCTTGGCCACGGGGCTCCGTCGGACGGGCGCAGAGTAGGTGCGGGCACCGGGAGGCGCCTTCTTTGAGGCCCTGGGAACGACGGAAGCGGTGGGGGCGGCCCTGGCGCTTTTCACGGCCTTTGCCACCTGCCCTGCCACGGGGGGGTCGTCAGGCTGCTCCCCACTTCGGGCAGGGGCAGGCGCCTTCTGGGGCTTCTCAGCACTGGGCTTTTCAAAGTGTTTCCTCTTCGGTTTCTTCGCTTCCATTTCACAGATCTCAACAGAAATGCCTGGCCCTGCCGGTTCCCGGGCACCCACGGGCCCGTCCGTGGCTGCCCCCCCCGGCACGGTGTTGCCGGCCCGGCCCTGCTCCTGGGCGGCTCCCACGCCACACGGCACAGAGGAACTTTCCTCATCCTCTTGATCTGAATGCTTGTCTTGTTTCTGATCCTGCCAAACTGAAAACACTTCACAAGGGGTCTCAAACTCGAAAAACTGAGAGTCCGACTCCTCGAACTCAAGCAGCTTGGTCTGCTCCTCCTTCAGGGCCTCATTGTCCACGCTTGAGTCTGCCGTGGAAACCGCCTGCTCCTCCTCCTCCTCCTCCTCCGGGACCCCGGGATCCACCTTCACGCGCTTCTTCGCACTCAGAGTACTGTCCTCCTCGTCATCGGAATCAGAAATAATAATAACGTGGTCGGAGCTGACGTCCCGGGTGCTGGTCGCCTTGGCCGTGAAGCATCTTTTGTCCTCCCGGACCTTCCTCTGAAGCTGGCAGGGGCTCTTCTGAGAGGACTCGGACGGGAACTTGCTCGCGCTGGCCTGCGCCAGTAAGGATAAGTCATAGAGATCCTGGTCGATCTGCGAGTCCGTCAGGGTGTCGGGCCTGGGGCTGAGGGGCCGATCCTGGAAGTCCGCGAGAGCCCCTCTGCCCAGCTTGCCGGCCACCTCTTGGGAGTCCAGTGTGGTCACTGGCTCCTCAGAGGGCGAGGTCTTTCTTAGGAAACTGCTGGTCACTTCTATGAGCGAGACCAGATCTTTCTCATTCTCACGTTTCCGGGCCTGGTGGCTGTGTTCGTGGGAGCAAGTCTCGAGCTCGTCGTTCAGCACCTGCTTCTTTTCCAGCACTGAAGTGTCGGAACAGGTCAGGTCCTTGCTCCTCTCGCCCAGAACACTGCGCGGGCCGACACAGAGATTGTGCAAGAAGCCTCCGTCCCCTCGCGCGTCTCCGGCACCTCTCCTCGAGTAGAAGCTCTCGATGCTGGACACGGTCAGGGTTTCCTCTAGATTCACCCCACTGTGGACCAGAGTACTTTTCCGGTGTTGCTGTTTTATCACATGTGACAACTTGGCGCAAAATTCATCTTTCTGTGCCTTGCTTTTAACTCTTACGTTTTTGCCGAGAGTACCGTCCCTGAGAGAGGAGTTCTCGCCGTGTGCGGCTGTGTCGAATCCCCTGTCCGGTTCCCCTTCGAGGCCTCTGCTTGACGCACGGTTCTTGGGCGTGATGGCGGGATCGTTGCTGAGAGCCCTCTGCCCCTGGGCGCTGCCTTGGCCCGGCTCGGGAGCACCATCGGGATAACGGCTCTCGCCACTCTGCTTGAAAGCGGGCGCGACCGGGAGGGGCCCCTGCAGCCTGGAGGCCCCCGGCTCATGCTTCTCGACGGTTTTCGGTGCTCTCCCCAGCGCCCCTTCGTGCACGGGGCCTCCACCCACTCTCCCGGGCTCCTTAGGGGGAGCAGGGCTGGAACTTTCCGGAGGGGGCACGTCTTTCCGAAGCTTCTCGGTTTCTTCACTTCTCCGAGGGCTTTTGGATGGAGGCGGCAGCTCTGCAAGCATGCCACCCTGCGGGCCCTTGGCCTTGATGTTCCTAATGATCTGCTTCAAACACATCTGCAGCTCCTGGGTTTCCTGCGCGGTCAGCTGCCAGCCCAGGGACAGATTGCCTCTCAGGAACAAGTTGAGCTTGTCCCAGAATCGCTTACACAGGGTCTGCTGGCCCAGCTGGTAGCCTTCCTTGAGCAGACTCCTGATGAGCTGCACGCAGGCCAGCTGCACCGAGTTGCCCTGCGCCATGTGCAGGGACAGCGTGGAGACGACCGGGGAGCCCTTGGAGCCGCTGGTGGCCGACTTCTCAATGCTGCGCGCGAAGGCGCTGGTCGGGAGCTTGGCGCACTTGACCACGGCCTCGACCCACTGCTGGGAGCTCACCCACAGCAGGTGCAGGCACCTCTTGTTCCTGTGCAGCTCGACCACGGACACCAGGATGAGCAGGAAGAACTCGGTGACCTTGTCACACACAGTGTTGGCCTGGTTGAGGACGTCCTTGACCTCCGAGTGCAGGTGGTGGATGACCTCCAGGATGTAGGCCACGCCCAGGTCCTTGAGGTCCATGAGCGACTGGACGAAGGGGATGAACCACAGGAAGGTGCTGTTGTGCACGCGCATGTCCTGCCCGATGTCCGACTGCAGCACGCTGGTCAGCGTCTCCATCTCCTCATACATGTTGGGGCAGTAATCCGGGCAGATGGCCGAGCGCCAACCTGAGTCCTACAACGGGAAACACCAAAAGACGAACGTGGGGCCGGAGCGACAGCACAGCCCTTCCCACACTTCCTGAACACAGTCACCAGCCCCCAGGAGTGCGTATGGCAGACAGACTCCGTCTTCCCCGGCCTCAGGGGATGCAGAGAACCCCACCACCGAGTCAGGAGGAAACCAAGATGTGAAAGACCACCAGAGACACATAGAGGCCGGCAGCGCCTGGGTCCCCGCAGGGCCCCGTACCTTCTTGGTCTTCTCAGGGTTGAAGTTGTACACGATCTGGCTGCAAGTCACCATGTCAGCCATGTACGGCTCCGGCTCGAACTTGGGCCTAAGTATTAAGAATAAACAGAAATGATGGAAGTAGAAAGAAAGAAAGAAAGAAAGAAAGAAAGGAAGGAAGGAAGGAAGGAAGGAAGAAAGGAGAAAGAGAAAGTGAGAAAGGAAGGAAGGAAGGAAGGAAGGAAGGAAGGAAGGAGAAAGAGAGAGAAAGGAAGGAAGGAAGGAAAGAAGGAAAAGAAGAGAAAGAGGAGAAAGACAGACAAGCATCCCCATCCCCATCATCAAGTACATGACAACGGGCTTCCACAGAGAGCTGGGCTGAGTTCTGAGCTGAGCGCCTGCCGTGCATGCATGAGTCTCTGGGTCGCGCTCCCAGCATCAGACACACACAGGCACGGAGCTGGTGGGCGCGAAGGCCTGGCCCGGCCTGCGCTCACCTCGCAGAGCTCTTCCGAATAGTCTGGATCTCTCTGTTGTAGCTCACGTTGTTGATGATGGTTTGAAACGCCTCGATCGGATCAATGAGCTGGCCCCAGACCTTCGATCCCAGACGGTCCAGGATCACCATGAAACAATGTAAGGCCGGCCAGAAAGGATCCATGCTATCATCTGAAACACAGGAAGCGAAGCCCCACAAAAGACATGTAGAAAGACAGATGGCTGTGCTGAGAACCGCTCCTGGCGTACCACAAGGAGAAAGCAAAGCGCAGCCATTCCAGGTTTTACAAGCTGGCCCTCTGGGGAAAGGTGTGTGCGTGTTTTCCAAGTAATACACCACACTAGGAAATTTTTTGAAGGGAGCAAACTGAGCACGTCCAGGTCAGCGGTTCTGAACTGATTCCACACCCACGGACCAGTGCAGGAGACTACGAGGCAAGGGACATTCAACTTCCTCAACCTGGCTCCACGCACCTCCCCCCCCCCCCCCCCCCCCCCCCCCGGGTACGCTGACAAGTAAGAGAAGGCACAAGAGGACAGGAGCAAAACCTTCAGCAGCCTCCTCGTGTCCTCCAAGGAAATCCAAAGTGCTCCAGCAGTTTTAAGTTATCAGTATACTTTTGGGGGGCCACATTGGCAATGCTCAGGGTATGCCAGGCTCTGCACTCAGGAGCGACCCCTGGTGGTGTTCAGGGGACTATACGAAACACGGGGGATCGAGCCCAGGTCAGATGAGTACACGGCAAGCGCCCTCCCTGCTGTGTGTCGCTCTGGCCCCTCTGCTGTATCTTTCAGTTGTTTTTCCTACTCCTACGATGAATCCCTTTCTACAGCAAAAATAAATGACTGGCTTACAACTGCCCTTCCCGCTTACTCTCTGTCCACTTTGAGCCTATTTCTAAATGAACCTAAATGCACCCTAAACGAACTTCACATTCACGGTGCCTCAAGAAGTGAAGGGGAGAGATGATGTTTTCGGAGTCTGGCACGACGGGTCTTTACTGATCCGCTTTTTTAAAAAGTCTAGGAAACGTCCCATTACACGTCCTTCCCATTCCACTCTCTCCACCAGGACTGTCCTGGGGGTCCCTAACTGAGAGGTGGGGGTGGGATGGATGCCGAGGGGCTAGGGAGGGGAGCAGCCCCCCAACAACAACCGAGTATCCAGAAGCAAGGCGGGCACTCACCTTGGGCGGGCCGCTCCATGGTATGCAGGATGGACTGCATGAAGTCGTTCTGCTTGTCGGAGCCGAGCAGCAGCGAGTCCATGGCCTGCTCCTCCAGGATGGTCAGCAGCATGCAGATCCCTGCGGGCACGCACGCCTCAGCCTCCGCGCCCTGGCTTCTCCCGACTCAGCACCCACGCTCACCAGGGAGTGCCAGCGACTGCGTGAGGGAAACCCTGCCCAAGGCCACCGTCACACACAGGTGTCAGGCCCAAGGCACCCCCAGGGGCAAGAGCCACCATATCTCACGCCCCAACTGTGGCCCAGTGTCACACAGGACTATTAAGACCTGGGATCAGGGGCTGGAGTGATAGCACAACGGGTAGGGCCTTGCACACGGCCAACCCGGGTTCGATTCCAAGCATCCCAAATGGTCCGCTGAGCACCGCCAGGAGTAACTCCTGAGTGCAGAGTCAGGAGTAATCCCTGTGCATTGCCGGGTGTGACCCCAAAACAAAAACAAAAAAAGACAGACCTGGAATCAGTGGAGTAGGTGACAGGTGGTGTGTGTCACAGCAGAAGCCGAACTCCAAGCCCAAAGGGGCGTATCTGACAGACGGAGGCGGCAGCACGCCCCTCTCCATCAGACCCACCCTCTTCCACGGCTCACCCAGTACTGTGACATCCGTGCTCCCTTCCAACGCTCGCAGTCACGGGAGCACTCACCTAACCAATAGTTCTTGTAGTTGGCGACATCGTACATGTGCGCGGGCAGGAGGATCAGCTTGCCCTTCTCGAGAACAGAGGAAGTGTAGATGTCTGGGCTCTCCAGCAGCCCCAGCTCAATCACTTTAAACAGGCACGTCAGAACCTCCTGCAAGTCGTAATAATCATCTCTGTCCACTTTCCCCAAGTTCCTGGCAGTCAGGATGGCCCAACGCCTAACCTGAAAGCAAAATGGATTCCTTAGTCATTCCACACTCATCCTACAGAAATCATGACCGTACTTAACAGGATTCTTAAGATAATTCTACGCATGAATAGTCAGGAAAACAAATCCCAGATCCAGCTGCAGAGTATTAGGAAATGAAGGGATTAAAGGAAATGAGCCCAGAGTGACCTAGAAGGCGACTAAGGGGTGGGAAGGGGAAGGGGCGTGGGACGCTGGGGAGGGACTGGCTCAGCACCTGAGTGTAAAGCAATGACCCCAACACTATAGTACCCGTGATACTGTGGGGTACGCATGACAGTACAGCAGGTCGGGCGCTGCCTTTCAAAGGTGCACAAGTTTGATCCCTGGCAACCCATATATATGGTCCCCCTGAGCCCTGCCAGAACTAACTTCTGATCAGAGCCAGGAGTAGCCCGAGCATGCTAAGAGCATGCTGAAATTCTCAAAACGAATAAAAAATGATACAATGAAAAAAAATCATAAAAACTTAAGTTAAAAATAAAGGGCTAGGGGCTGGAGCGATAGTATAGCAGGTAGGGCATTGGTCTTGCACGTGGCCAACTTGGGTTCAACCCTGGCATCCCATATGGTCCCCCAAGCACTGCCAGGGTAACTGCTAAGTGTACAGCCAGGAGCAACCCCTGAACATCGCTGGATGTGACCCAAAAACAGCAAAAAAAAAAAACAAAAACAAAAAAGGGGGGGCTAGAGAGACAGTATGGTGGGTAGAGCTTGCCTTGCATGTAGTCCACTGCAGTTCATCCCCCCACACCCCATGGGATCCCCTAAAGCTTGCCAGGAGTGAGCCCTGAGCACTGTCAGTGTGAACACAAAAACAGTAAGAAAAAGAAGACTGTCCAAGTCACATGGCACTCTTGCGCATGGTAACTGATTCAACACCATGCAGGACACTGTGACAAGAATGCTGGCGCTGCCCAGCAGCTCCAAGGGGGAAGAATCCCCTCCCGACCCGTCCCACAGCCCCGAGAGCACAACACGCGCCCTTCGTGCTAACACGCACTCACCATTTCGTTGGGGTGAACCAGAAACAGATAGATCCCGGGGTGCTTCTCGAACACCTGGAAGGAGCAGTTGGCTTGCTCCATCCGACACAGCGCCTCCACACACAGCTCATCTGCACAGAGACAACGAATCTTATCCACGGAGCAAGGCTTCTAGCCTGGCTCTCCGGCTGAAGGAGAAGTACTTTTAACTGAGGCAAAAATACCGATCATCAAACATAAATGCCGGACCAGTCCGCACCTACAGACTAACAGGCCGATCATACTGTTCTAGGAATCACTCAAACTAACACACACATGCCAGCAGCATGGGGGGTGGGGGGGTGTTAGTGTGTTAGTATCAAGGTATCTGTATGAGTCCAAATCCATCAGCCTTCTACACTGACCCACATGGCCTTTTCTGAGGAGCTATCAAGTAAGTCCCCCCTCCCACCCAGCAACGGCTATTTTCATCCTCCCATTTACTGAATAATCCAACTTCCCCACTGGCTCAAAGGGATGATCCAGCCCTAAATCCCCAAATATGCCTGTTTCCTTCCCCCTCTCAACACTGTCCTCCCTGCGCCCGTTCTTACTCCTGTTGCTGTACGAGACACCTGCGGGGGAGGCTGGCATCCAGCGGACAGAGGCCAGCAATGCAGCTACATTCTACAATGGAGTCTACACAAAGAATCGCCTCGCCCAAAACGCCAACGGGGTCACATCTGAGACACCACTAGACCCGTCAGAAGAATGAAGAGGAACGGGAGAGATAACTGAGGAACCTCAGCACAAGCAGAGAGAGAGCCGTGGTGGATGCGGCGGATGCGGCACACACACGCTAGTCACGTTTCCTCATGCTTGGGAAGGCCAGCACAGAAGGCTGGGGAATGTGGGCAAGGCGTTTGTATACTCGGGCGAACGGATTTTCAATCACAATCAGCCGAAACTGCTACTGTTCTCAGAATAACAAAATGATTCGATCTAAGAACCACCTGTGGCTGCCTACGGCCGTGTTCGTGTAAGGTGCTCCCGGATGGGGCCATGTGAGACAATGACGTGTTCACGTAAGGTGCTCCCTGATGCGGCCGTGAGAGATACTGGCGTGCGCATGGAAGATACTCACTGACACGTTCATGTAAGAGCAGATACGGGAATTTCAGGATTTCCAGAAGTGGCACTCGGAGCTTGTTCTCAAAGTCTTGGCCGGTGAAGTCAAACAGCTGCGCCTCTCCATTGATGTCCACAATGTACAACTCGTCGTCATCGTCATCACCGATTTCCGCACTCATGGATTTTTCAAAATGGTTTGTGAGCCGTACAATTTCCAATTCCCATAAAACCTACGGGGGAAAGAACAGGCAATGTGCTCGGTCTCTTATCAACAAGGCACACTGACTATATTGTATGCTCCAAACATTTTCCTAAAAACGTTTCCCTAAATGTAAAATACAAGGAGAATTTTCTAGAAGTACCAGACACACGGCTCTCAGCAGCTACAGCACCTCATGGGATGGGACTATGATACGAGTCCACCAAGGGCGCCAACACTGCCCGTGCAGCAACTCAGCCCTGTTACCCGCGCCGAGCAAGCATCAGCCACAGGACACAGGGTTGGAGGGAGGAGGGGTCAAGGCGCTGGCCCCATGGGCAAAGAGCCCGGCTCAACCCCCAGCACCACCCGGCAGAACGCGAAGGTCACTCCACACGGCTCCTAACCCACCCTCGGTCTTTCCCACGCCGTGTGGCTCGGAGGCTGATGTTCTGAGTCTGAGCCCACGCGTGGAAATGAAGCAAATGTTCAAAGCCCATATGAAGAATTGTGCTGCACCCTGGTTTCCGTGGTTCCCCCAACACTTGCCCCCTGGCCTGGTGACTCCCGAGCACCCTCGTGCCAACAGGGAGCAGGGCCCGGCATTGACCCAGGCTGAGAACTGCCATGAGGCCTCAGCGCAGCACCAGGGACAGAGCCCCCTCCCAAGCCGCCCCGCCCCCCCCCGCCCTGAGCCAACAGTCACTGTCATATTGGGTCCTTTCACGTGACAAAACAGTCTGGGATCCACGTGAGAGAAGGAGTCAGATGAGCCTGCTTTAGGTTCTGAGTGCTGGGGCACCCTCGGGTGGGGACTCACCTCGTGGAAGAGTGGCAGCTCGTCCCTCGCCTTGTGATACTCGACCACGCACTCCAGGCAGTAGCAGAGGTCCTCGTTGGCCGTCTGGAACTCGCTGCACAGGGCTGGCTGGGCTGCATAGCGCTTCAGGAAGTCGACAGTGGAGGTCCCGCCCGGGGTACACCAGCAGCAAGTGCTCATCCTGTACCTGCTGCCAGGAAATGGGGACATCAGAGGGCCCAGGGGAAGGGCACACACAGCCTGCAGCCTCCTGGCGCTTCCTGCTGAGGCCCTGGTGCTCAGACACGCCGAGCTCAGTCAGAATCATCGCCGCCCGAACTCCAGTACCAAGGCCCCGGCTGATGTCCTAACATGGGGGTCAGGGACATGGCTGCGAGGGCAGGAGCACATGCTGTGCATGTGGAGACCTGAGTTCCATCCCCGACACTACCTGGTCCCTGATACCACTGAGGAAACAAAAGCACTTTGCTATGAAACAAATTACCATAGGATAATGTGCAGCTGTCCAGAGGAGAGGGCTGGGAAACAAACAAAATTAGCAATGCATTCGAAGAACAGATCTGGGGCATCCCATGAAACGCTGGAGACACTTTCCACTCCTAGAAACTCCCAGAAATATAAAAATCCATGAAAGGGCCTGGGGCCGAAAAGCTGTCTTACAAGCTAAAAGTTAGGTGGTTTTCTGGAGGGTCCCCGGGACCCGCATTCTGCAGGGGGCAGGGCTGATTCCCAGCTCTATGCTCAGAAGTCAGTCCTGAGGGATTCCGGGGTCCAACCTGTACTTAGCCTGAGGCTGTGAGCTGATGCCTGGTGTCCCACAGTCCCCTCTGTGGGGTGCCCAACCACAGAACAGAGAGCAAGCACCACTAAGATGCTCGCGCAGTCAGCCACAGGAGAGTCCATGTGCCAGCAGCACCGTGCCCGGCAGGCAAAGCACGTCAACCAAGGGTGTGCAACACAGCCACTGCCGTATGTCGCCCCGGGAACACCAAAGGAAGAGAAAAAAACAACAGAACACTTTCAACAATCATAAATATCAGCCCACACCAAGTACAAGAACTCAGGCCAGAGCAAAAATGCAGAGGGCAGGGCGCTGGCCTTACATGTGGTCAACCTGGGTTCGATCCCCGGCACCCCATATGGTTCCCTGAGCAGAGCCAGGAATCAGCCCTGAGCACCACTGGGAGTGCCCCAAAAAGAAAGGCAAGGACAAAAAATTATAAGGAGAGAGAAAAAAGCCACCTAAAAAGATTAAAAGACGAATCACAACTTTTCCACAAGACAGCGTCACCGAGCCCTAAGCAGCACAGCCAAGACGTAGCATGGTCTCCCCGGGACACAGCACGAGCCCTTCCTGACAGAGACCGAGGACGCTGCCTTAATGCCCACCTTGCCCAAGGGGCTTGGGAGTAGGGAAAGCCCACAAGTACCACAGGTTTCTGCTGAGTATAAAATTGATGTATTTAAGAGCATCTTTCACCTGCCATTGGGGCCAGCGTCATACTGGAAATCTGACGTCAACAGAGCTCCGTGTAAGTGCAGCAGGGTGAATCTGGAACATCTCGGGGGCCCTGTCTGATCCCAGCACCGATGCCCCCCTCAGCTCTGCCTTGGGTCGTTCTGGAGCGGAAGAGATGCGTGGAGGCCCCCAATACCACTGCGCCCAGTGCTTATCACTGCCCTACCTCTGACCCCATAGCAGCCCCTCATCCCTCTGAGCAGAAGCAGCCCACCAGGAAATTACTAGTGACTGCACCGCCATACTCCAGAAAGTGCAGGCTAAATTTTCTCAGCCTTTTTCCGCTCTGGACAAGCCCAGGTCTTTTCCTGAACATGTATCCCTCACTCCCTTCACATTTCTCCAAGTTAAATTATTTCAATAAAACTATCTTATTTCAGGGCCAGAGAGACAGTACAGCAGGTAGGGTGCTTGCCTTGCATACGGTCCCCCAAGCACCACTGGGTGTGGCCCAATGAAAAAATATATATATTTCTCACACACACAAAATGACTAAATATTCTCGAGTAGATGGAAACTACTCTCATACAACTGCCAAGTGCCAGAGAATCTAGAAATCGTAGGAACATGCTACAGCACACTGACTGTATCAGCCTCGTCTCACAGCTATTCTAAAGGGCCATAGAGGCCAGACAGTACAGTGGGTAGGGCACTTGTCTAGCCCATAGCCAGCGCAGGTTCAATCCCCAGCAGCACATATGGGCAGTTCCCCTGCCCTGCCAGGAGAATGCCCTAAGCACTGCAGGTGAGGCCCCAAAACAAAAGCAAAGCAAACCAAAAAAAAAAGATCAAAGGACCATGTGTGTGGTTGTGTTGCCAAATCTAAATAAATTATTGGCCTGAGCTTAGCCCAAGAAACACATACTACACATATACACAGAGAAGTAGCTAGGGTCTTCCCAAAGCTATGCCCAGTGACCTGGGGCCTCTCCAGAGGCCCATGACCAAGTGCTCATATGGTTCCATGCTCAACACCATGTGATTGTGTGGGGATTGAGCAGGGCTCTGATCCCGCAGCTCAGGCTGTGGGAACTGTTACCAGGGTTTGGGCAAGGTTGTAACAACTTTGACTGCTACATGTCAATTTCACGGCGGCAACTCGGAACAGACTTAAGGGCCCCCAGGGGCTCCTCCAAACTCGCACTTGTTTTGAAGTGGGAACTGCAGACACTAACAGACAAATGCTGGAACTTTCCCCAATCACTAAGGCAAAAAAGTTCAAGCTGTGACTTCCTTCCACCCTTCCCAGGCTGACTTCCTTAAACAGCCACAGACCAGACTGCTGCCCCTCTGCACACTGGCCTCTCCCAGTCCCTTTTGCTAGGCTGACATTTAAGTCCTAATAATCGCAGAGCCGTGTGATGAGGACTCCAAGAACGCTCCGCTCCTGGCTTTTCCAGCTCCGGGTGGCCTAAGAATGCGGAGTCTTCAACGGCCCCTCCTGGAGCTTCCCAGAGACCCAGCAAGCTCCAGGCTGGTCAGCTGCCAGGACCCCACAGACACAGCCTTGCTCTCCAGTGGCACCCACCAAATCTCGACCCTCAGAACAGAGTGTGAGCAGAGCAGGCACTTCTCTGGAACCTGCCCCTCATGTGGGCCTCTCTCTGTTACTGACCCGGCCACAGGTTGCGGCCTGGGAACCACCCCAAGGGCCCCACCCCTTGGGCAACACCTGCTACTGGAGAGTAAAGCCCCTCAACACATCCACCCGCTTTGATAAACTCCAGGGGACCGCCACACCTTTAAGACTCTCACGTTTTAGAAACCTAAAGGATGCTACCAAAGAAAGGCCAAAACAAGAGGAAGCGAAAAGTAACAGTGACTTCTCCCTCGGGCAGATACACTTCAAACCCTAGGCACTCCTCTGCGCCCAGGCCCAGCGTCACTGGGATCAGCAGGAGATTAGTGCTTTCGGACACTCCCCGGGCTACCAGCACTTTTCACACCTCAGCGACTCTCAACCCTGCACACCTCCTGGCCACCAAGGAATGCCACAATGAACCCCAAGCAGTAAATAGAATAAAAAGCCAGACGTGACAACCGCGCCCCCCCCATGCTTATCCCCAAGAGCCCCGTGGTCCTGGGGGCCATGTGCCAGTCCCCATGAGTCCCTACCACACCCCCAGGGACCCACCTGAGGTGTCACTTCCTTCCGCCACCCTCCCTGCTTCCTGGCCCACCGCTGCGCCTGGCTGGGCCCGGGATCTTCGGCTCCTGGGTCCGGCGGTGTGGGGCAGAGCAAGGGTCTGAGGAAGGGTCCGTGCATGCGAGTCAGTAGGGTTACCTGGGCTCCAGAGCTACGGGCTGATGCCGTCAGCCCAGACTCCTGGGCTCACCCGTGAAGGGGCAAGGACTTGCACTCAACTGGACCCCGACTCCAACCCGGGAAGGACATCTCTGAAAGCAAAAAGAGAGGCCACTGACACGGGCTCTGCGCGCTCCTCCCGGCCCCACGTCCCGGTCAGGGCGGCCGGCGCGCTGGCCGCTGCCGGCCGCCGGGGTGGACAGGCCTGCCAGAGGACTCGGGCGGGGAGCACGGCCGCCCTCCCCGCGCCCCGCGGCTCTGATCCACTCGGGGTCAGGGGCGGCTTCGCGGGCCGCGAGGCACCTGGCACTAACCACTATTCCCGCGAGCGACGGCGGCGGGGGCCGACAGAGCGGGCTGCCCCCGCGCCCGACGCCGCGGCTGGGGTCGCGGGCGCGCGGCGTCGCGGCGCACGGCCGGGCGGACGGGGCCGGGAGGGACGCCCCGCGCGCCGCGCCCGCTCCACGCCGAGGGGCCCGCGTGGCCGCCCGCGCCTTGGCTGTCCGCGGCCTGGCCGCCCCGCTGCCCACCTCCATGCCCCAGCTCGCCGGCCGGCCCCGGGCGGGCGGAAGTGGCGGCACGCACCGGGCGCTGCAGCCCGAGCCCGCCACCCAACCGCGAGCGCGCGAGCTGGGCCCGCCCCCCGCCAACGTCCTCGGGCGCGGGCCACGCCCCCTGCGTCCCCGGGGCGGGGCGCGCGACGGGCGGGGCCGGGAGAGGCGGCCCCAGTCCCCGCGGGCGCTCCGGCGCCTGTGTGACGTCACTTCCGCGGGCCCGGCCAATCAGGGAAGGTGGACACGAGCCCGCCGGGCGGGGGCGGGGCGCGGGCGGCGGGGGCGGGGCTGTGGGGGCGGGGCGGGGCGCGGGGCGGCGGGGGCGGAGCTGTGGGGGCGGGGCGGGGCGGCGGGGGCGGGCGGGACAGAGCCGCCCCCGGCGGCCCCGGGCGACCCCGGCCCGGCCCCGCCCACCGCGCCGTCGGGGTGGGCCCGAGCCCCCTGCGCCCGCGCCGGCGACCTACCCGAGGGCCTTTTCCGTTCTGTCCCTGCTGACCCCAGCCTCCCGGGCCTGAGCCAAGGCTTGTCACCAACAGCCCAGAAGTAGCTCTGCCTCTCTCGGTTTCCTTCGAGGACCTGCGAATAGAGGAGTGAGCCGTCAGCGCGGGGGGGACAGGCGCACGCCTCCGGAGTCCATCCTCACCAGGGCCGGCCTGGAGGGGGTCCTGGCTCGCACCCCACTTGCTTAGAGCGGGGAGGGCGGGCGAGCGGCCCGGCGCGGAGGTCCTTGCGCTGCGCACACCCGGGCTCGCTCCCGGCCCGCTTCTGTCCCCTGGGCACCGCCTGAGGGGGGCAGGGAGATGGGTCAAAGGCTGCAGTGCAGGCTTTGGAGGAGGAGTGGAGTGGGGACGTTTGCTCCCCCGCACTCGCAGCCCCCCCACCCCACCCCGTGCTGCTAGGTTTGGCTCATTCCACACCCAAAATGAATAAACGGGGAAAAAAAAAAGAAAATGGGGGGAAATCGTACTGGGGCCGAGCGAGGGGGCGCGGGGCCGTGCGAGGCCCTGGGTGCATCCCTGCAGTGCACCCCACACGCACAAAGTAAGAAAAAATAAGGTGGAGGGGATGAAAATCCAGGGGCGCGGGGCTGGGGCGTTGCCACTAATTTCACCACCCCCCAGACACCCCACAGCGCCCCAAATGCCCACCGCCCACCGCAGGCACAACCAAGTGACTTGAGGAGGAGTGGAGTGGACGTTCATCAAAACGTCGAAGAGACAGGAACTTAAAAAAAAAAAAAAGAATACCAGGTTGTGCCCACGAGAAACAACGAAAAAAAATATAACGGTGACCCCCCCCCCGCCAAGAACCAGAATCCCCCTTTCCCCCCCCCAACGCCCACTCCCACCCGTTGAAGGCATCACTAGTTACTACCCACCCCAACGGATAAAATCACCAACAGACGGTCGGGGGCGGGGGGCAGGAGCGCACCCAGAACACGTCTTACCCCAGAGAACCTCGAGAGAAGACTGAGACCCCCAGCTCCCAGAGGGGAAACACCCTCGAGGAAGGTTCCAGAGAGAGGCGTGGCCAAAAGGACGGTTGCGGGGTATTAACGGCCCGCGGTGGCCGTTATTTTCGTTATGTTCGTTGGAAGGTGCTTCTGCAGCCTACGAGCCCGCGTTCAGATGGAGCGTGGAAGGAACGCGGTTGTAGGGCCTGACCTACAAGCCACCTTCTCGAAGGTTCTTGTTAGAGGGAGGAATCTCAGCCCCCTCCCCCCAACCGTTCCCCCGCCCCCGCCCCATCTCCCAGTGCCACTCTGCGGCCCCCTGGCTTTTAGTTAAAGAACATGCCAGGCCAGGCTGGTCCCCGGCAGGGCACGGGGCATGGCTCAACGACCTGGCAGTCGGACTTGGGGGTTGGGGGCTCGGTGACTAGGTCAGTCTTTATGCCAGTTCCACCCTACAATATGGTCTGGGTTTTTTTCCGAGTGTCTAAGGAGGAAAGGGCCGGTGAGAAAATGGTACCCAGGGCGCAGGAAGATCATTTCATCCTGCCTCCAAGCCCTCTGTGAACCCGCCTGATACATTTCAGCCACAGTCCACGAATGATGTTAGGGGCCTTTGGCATACATTGGGACAACCCGGGTTCAATTCCTGGCCCGCTGTGGGGTTCCCTGAGCCCCACCAGGAGTGATCCCTGAGCAAAGAGCCAGGAGTAAGCCCTGAGCGTTGTGGGGTATGTCCCACCCCCCTGGGGAAAAAAATGTTAAAACATTGTAACAAAACATTTTAACAAAAATGTTAAAATGTAAAAAACATTTTACTCACATTTCTCTTTAGACTCAACATACTTTCCTAAGATTTATTGATTCAAAATACATTTTAAGAGCTGTAAGACTCTAAATATTGCACAATTGAAGGGATCCTTAATATAATCGCAGTATAATTTACATTTTGCTAAATTACATATAATATATAAAAGGTAAAAAAGGTAAAAGGCCCTCCCGTTGATCGTCGATTTGCTCGAGCGGGCCCAGGAACGTCTCCATTGGAGACTTTGTTGTTACTGTGTCTGGCATATCCAATACTCTCGGTAGCTTGCCGGTCTCTCCAAGAGGGGCAGAGGAATCGAACCTGGGTCGGCCATGTTGGCCACTTGTAAGGCGAACGCCCTACCGCTGTATATTATATATATATATATAATATATATATGTATATTATATATATACATATAATATATAATTTACAATTATTAATAATTGACATTATTTAGCATAAGGCAGAACCCCCTGCTCCCATGCCAGGCTGTTTTCACTGGGGCTCCTCAGAAAGGTTGAGTTTCCCTCCCTGCCCAAAGCAGAACCCCGCAGCCGAAAACCTCCAGAACCCAGCCACAGCCATGCTCAAGGCCACTCTCTACAGGCACAGACGAGCCTCACGCATGAAAGAACCAGTAGAGGACTCCAGGTATGCGGGACCCACGGCTGAGATCTCCAAGCCTGCTAGGATCAGAACTAGGCTTCCTCTACCCAGATCCCCCACTTTCCAGTAGCTTGGCAGTCACACCCACAAACCGCCTCGGGGCACCAGGTAATCTCATTATCACTGTCACAGGAGGACAGTGGTACAGTGATTGAGCATAACTTAAACATGTAAAATAGACAAAACCCACCTGAATCCAGTATGACACTATAGTATTAAATTGCAAACACAACTCCATAAAAATTACATATTTTGGCTTCCTACAGTTTACCTCAATAATGAGCTTGGAGTCCATCATCTAAACATAGAACACAAAGATAATTAAACTTTTTCTCTGATAAGGTTGACAAAATCTTATTTTATTGAAGATTTGTAAAATTTTATTTCAGATTAATTATTGAGCATGATAAGGACGGGTAATTTAGGATTATCAAAAACTTTTCTATCAAGACTGTATGGATTCTATATGGTCCCCAAGCCAAGAGTGATCCCTGTGCACAGAGCCAGAAGTAAGCCCTGAGCATCTCTTGGTGTGCCCCGCTGCCAAAAAAATATAGAATCTAAACACTAAGTATTAGATATTTCCATTTTTAGATTCACAGCATATATCTTCTATCAGTGTTTTATGTCATAAACGAATAAAATGTCAGTACTCTTGGGCCGGAGCAATAGCACAGCAGGTAGGGCGTTTGCCTTGCATGCGGCTGACCTGGGTTCGATCCCCGGCATCCCATATGGTCCCCCAAGCACCGCCAGGAGTGATTCCTGAGTGCAGAGCCAGGAATGACCCCTGAGCATCGCTGGGGTCAAAAAGCAAAAAAAAAAAGTCAGTACTCTTTATACTTATGTGGCCCAGTCCTTAGTTTTTTTCCCATTTTATTTATTTACAAAGTTGTCTATGATGATTTGTTACAGACGTTCAATATTCCAACACCAGTCCCACCACCATCGCACCTTTATTTTCAATTTTCCCACCCCTTAAGTCTGCCCCCATAGCAGGCCTTCAATGATTGATTTTATGTTTCTTGTTATAAATTATTAAAAGAATGATAAAAAAATTTTCCTTAGAAGAAAGTCAGTGAAAACTGCTGTATCTCAGCCTGGAACCATTAAGCCCTTGTGTAAGAGATTACTAACATGTTGTTATAGACTAAGCCTTTGTGTGCTTATATTTTGTTCATCGAGACTGGATGCTGTCTCCAAGGATATCCCAACCAATCTTGGGCACTACTCCTGGTTTATCAGTGTTGTAGAGTCTGAGATGCTGCAAAATTATTTTTTAATATTGTTTTAGGGGCCAGAGACATAGCATAAGAATTAGGGAGTAAAGTACTTGCCTTTTAAAAACAATAGGCTTTCCTTTTTAAAAACTTACTGTTTCGAGTATTTTTGTAAGTGTATTTAGGATTTTGTTTTATTTTTGTCCACAGCTGGCAGTGCTCAGCAGAACTTACTCCCAGCTCTGTGCTCCCAGATCACTCCTGGTGGGCTCAGCAGGACCATATGGTTGCTAAGGGATTGAACCCAGACAGGTACCCTACCTGCTGTGCTATCTCTTTGGTCCGTGTATTTAGGATTTAATTTAATATGGGTAATTTGTTTCTGTTGTTATCCTTATTTGTCTTTTTCTTTGCCTTTTTTTTTGGGGGGGGGGGGGGGACAGGACTTTGGAGACACATCCCATTGATGCTCAGGGGTTACTCCTGGCTCTGCACTCAGGGATCACTCCTGGCGGTGCTTGGGGGACCATATGGGATGACAGGCATCGAACCTCCATTTGCGCATGCAAGGCAGGCACTTACCCACTACACTATCTTCCTGGGCCAATTTTTCTTTGCTTTAAAAGGTGTTTGACTGGGGCTGGAGTGATAGCACAGCGAGTAAGGCATTTGCCTTGCACGCAGCCAACATGGCCAACACAGGTTCGATTCCCAGCATCCCATATGGTCCCCCGAGCACTGCCAGGAGCAATTCCTGAGTGCATGAGCCAGGAGTAACCCCTGAGCATCGCCGGGTGTGACCCAAAAAGCAAAAAAAAAAAAAAAGGTGTTTGACTTTTGTGTTGCCAACGCTGGATCAATCCCGAGCACCCCATATGGTCCCTAAGTCCCACCAGCAGTGTCCCTGAGCATAGAGTCAGGAGT